GCGCTTCCGCCGGAAGGGAGACGCCGGCGTGGGGGCGGGCCGGGGCGGGGGTGATGGACGGCCGCCCTTGCCAATCGCTCGCGGGCCAGTGCCGGCCCGGCCTCTGACAAGGTCCAATCGGCGGAGAGAGCGGCGGGTAGGTGGGGCGAGCGGAAGCTTCCGGCGGGGCCCCGCAGGCGCCGAGGAGGAAGAGCGATCACGCACGGTACATCTTTCAGCCGAGTCTCCGCGTTGGCCAGGTTGAGTGGGCGACCCGGGGCGGAGACGGCTACGGGGAAGGCTGGGGGCGGGGCCTGCGCCTCCGGGAGACCCCCCAAGCTGGGTGCCGGGTCCGCGGAGGCCAGAGGGGCGGGGGGTTCGAGGTAGAGGGGCTCGGGGGCTGAGGGACGCGGGGGCCTGGAAGCCGAGGTCCGTGAGCAGTCCGGCGCTCTCGGGGGTTGGGGGGCCCGAGGGTCCGTGCGCGGGGCGAGGACTTTTGGGGTCGGGGACCGCGGCGTGGACTCTCGGGCCAGCCTGGGGCCCCGCCCTGCTGCGAGCCGCCCCGGCCCCTCCGCCCAGCGCGGAGCCGAGGGCGTCGGGCTGCCAGGTGTGCGGGATGGGGCGGGCCGTGCACCCCGCAGACTTTCTGTGTTTGGAGGGAGCACACCTGCAGCTCCGCGGACCCGTGTCCGACAGAGATCAGCCGTTAGCCAAAGCCTTGCGTCCCATCTGATGTTAGCGTGTCCCCGTCCAAGTTTTTAAATTCTTGGGGGCGGGGGTCCCAGACTAAGGAACAAGTTTGCAGGTACAGAAAGTGGGCCGCGCAGCGAGCGCTGAGCGTGCCGAGAGCAATTTCTTCTTTGAGAAACGTGAGACGTGGGTGTTGGCTCCATTGCTCAGGTGCCGCAGGCTCCGAGCCTGCCCCCCCCCCCGTGTTTTGAGCTTTGGGGTGCTCCCTGGCGCCCAGCGTAGCAGAGCCCGGAGGGTTGGCGAGGGCGCGTTCACCGGGTCGGTGCCGACCGGCATTTGAGTGGTGACTGCTGGCCCTCTTTCAGGATGGCGACTTCAGGCGCGCTGTTTCCAAGCCTGGTGCCAGGCTCCCGTGGGTCCTCCAACAAGTATCTGGTGGAGTTTCGGGCAGGAAAAATGTCGTTAAAAGGAACAACTGTCACCCCAGACAAAAGAAAAGGGCTCGTGTACATTCAGCAGACGGATGACTCCCTCATTCACTTCTGCTGGAAAGACAGGACGTCTGGGAACGTGGAAGACGTGAGTCTCTGCCCTCTGGGCGGCCACTGGCGGTGGCAGCATCACCGTGAGGCCGTGGGTGGGGTGTGTGGCGTTGCTGTTTGGCTGCCCATGAGCTGTTTTGATGTGCTTATCGGTCTTCCCAGTCCCACTGATGACATAGGTTTCTCCCGTCACTGTATATGCTTTATTTACTTATTACATTTTTATGGATTTCAGAGGAAAAGAGAGAGAGATACACGAATGATGAGAGAGAATCATGGATCGACTGCCTCCTGCACACCCCACACTGGGGATCGAGCCCTCAACCCAGGCGTGTGCTCTGACCAGGAATCAAACTGTAACCTCCAGGTTCATAGGTCGATGCTCAGCCACTGAGCCACACCAGCCGGGCGTCACTCTATATACTTTAAACTTTGAAGATTAGGTACTAGAGTGGGCGAAGCCATGTAAAAGTCCTGGCCTTTACTCCAGCCCACCAGACAGCTCCCTCCAGTGGTCATTCTACTTAGTGTTCTTTGTCCTTCAGACTAAATTGTTCTGTGTTAGGTTCAAGGGCAGGTCAGAGTTGGCTTTTTGACTCATCTAGGAATGCTCCCACGATGTTTCTATTAAAAAATCCTTCACGAGCCCGCGTTCCCTGTTCAGCACCAGGCCTGCGCCTGGCCCGCAAGCGCTTCTCCTTCCTGGGTGCCTCTGACCCTGGCTTATCCGCCCCGAGAGACCCTGCTGGTGAGGAGGGTGGTCTTGGCCTTGCGCCCTCCTCCCCACCCTACACGCTGAGACACAGCCCAGCATGTGTTCCTGGGAGGCTCGGGGGCTTGATGTGTCACGGGACCATGACTCTCCCCTCCTGTGGCTCTGCAGGACTTGATCATCTTCCCTGACGACTGTGAGTTCAAGCGCGTGCCGCAGTGCCCCAGCGGGAGGGTCTACGTGCTCAAGTTCAAGGCAGGGTCCAAACGGCTCTTCTTCTGGATGCAGGTGTGTAGGTTTTGTTTGTATGTTTTCTTTCCTCCTCGTCTTAGAGCTAGGTTAGAAACCTGCTCGCCAGATGGTAGAATTGGCTTCCACAACCAGCTGGGGCTGACCAACATGCTGCCGCGGAGCCTGGAGTCCCCTGTGTGGCCCTGAGTGCCTTTCAAGGGGTGGAATGCTTTGGCAGCAGATGGGTGACTCCAGGCTAGGCTCCATCTCAGGGCCTTGATGGGCACTTAGCCTGTGGTTTGCTTGTCCCCAGTGCCCCCTCAAGGGTCACGAGGACCCCAGGGCAGAAGCCAGGATGACGGTGTATAGTCTCCAATGCAGTGTTCTCTCCGAGCTCTCTGAGCCCTGCCGCTCCCCTAATGGAGTGCTCTGGAGTCCTGGGGTCAGCACGCACGCGTGCCCACGGCTGTAGGCCGTCCTCCGCCAAGTCAAGCTGTTGCCATGTCTTGGTTGCTTCTGCTCGAGGCAGTGCCGTGACAGTCGCCTTGTGCCGGTTACTGCGTGTGTGAGGATAATGTGTGTGCTAAAATGGAGGAATGGCTTGCTGGTACAGTGGGCACACGTGTGCAGTTTTGACAGGTGTCAACATGTTCCCCCCCAGAGTCTGGACGTGGAGAGCCGGTGGGAAAGGGTTTCCTCTTGGGGGGCCCAGCTGCTCACTTGTGCCGAAGCCCCGGGGAAGTGGCCGGGACCGGGAGAGCATGCCTGGGCGCGCAGCCCGGCTCCAATCCAACTTCATTTGCAGACTCAGACGGGGCTGAGGTTTGCAGCCGCTGGGGCAGAGCTTGTTTCTCCAGTTTTGCCAAGAAATCTTGTCAGAGGTTCGCCTCACACTAGCTGTTTTACCAGTTTTGCCCATTTGACATCTCTCCTCCTGCGCGCCTGTCCCCACACAAGCACATGCCCAGTGACTGTGGACAGATCCATCTGGGCGCTTTGTCCTGCAGTTCTGGGCACTGACAGGGTAGCATGCCCGATGACCCCATCACACCCAGGGAGGGCTCATTGTGGGGCCCTGTTGACCCCGAGGGGCCTGGGCCGGGTGTGGTGTGTGGGCAGTGCCGTGGCAGAGGTCATTGCATCGAGTGCATGTGTTGAAGGAAGGGCCTGGGGCTGTCTATGCTCGAAGGAAGCCTCAGGCCTGCAGGCCGGGACCTGCCCTGGCACGACTCGCGTTCTTAGTGCTTTTGTCTGTAACAGGCACGTCCGTCGTATGGGACTGCTGGGTTTTCTCCCTGGTGCCATGGGAACGTGGACAGTGGCTTCATCTGTCTGAGCCTAGGTCCCTCATCTGTAAGTCTGGTCTGTGGTGGGTGGGCTGCTCAGCTGCGGCTGTTGTCCTGTCCTCCCACAGGAGCCTAAGACGGACCAGGACGAGGAGCATTGCCGGAAAGTCAACGAGTATCTGAACAACCCACCGATGCCCGGAGCACTGGGGGCAAGCGGGAGTGGAGGCCATGAGCTGTCTGCACTGGGCGGTAATGCTCCCCTCCCCCCGGGTGTGCTCAGAGGTCCCAGGAGGTGTCAGATGGCCCTTGATGATGCAGACCATTTGTGGTTTTTTAAAACTGATTTGAGAGAGCGGGGGAAGGGGAGAGAAGCATTGCTTGCTGCTGCTCTTGTGCGCTCACTGGTGGGTCCTCATGTGCCTTGACCAGGGATCACACTCGCCATCTTGGCCTCGTGGGGTGGGCTCTAGCCACTGAGTCCCTGGCCGTGGCCCAGACCAGCTGTTTTAAGTGCAAGTGAGGAGTCCCAGGTAGAAACCCTTCCCAGGTCCCCACTCCCATCCTCATAGGCGAGAACAATGTCAGAGACTCACCCACCGACTCATTTCATGCAGCACTCATGGAGGGGCAGTCCTGGGGGCTGTCGGGCTTAGCTCCTCCTCGCCTGGAGGCGCCAGCAGTATGAGCCCTTCCGAGAGCACCTTCCCGAGGCACTGCGGGCGGGCGCAGGCGGGCCCTGACCTGAGCACCTCTGTCTTCCAGGCGAGGGCGGCCTGCAGAGCCTGCTGGGGAACATGAGCCACAGCCAGCTCATGCAGCTCATCGGACCCGCCGGCCTCGGAGGACTGGGTAACGCCCTCTGGCCCCGGGGCCTTTGTTTTAATTCGGACAACCTTCAGCTTGTGGTTGCTTTTGCCTTGGAGTCCGTTTCCTTTAAGCTCCTATTTGGCTGAGTGGTGTCTATGTGTTCCCTGCGTTGCCTTCTCTGGGGGAGGCCTGTGCGCCTTCTGGTTTGAGCGGGAGCCGAGTGGGCAAGGCCTTCCAGGGCCCCCAGTGAGGACCCGCTGTGTGGCTCAGGGGAGCCTGGCCGGCTGAGGAGGGGCCTGCTGCCACCTTCGGGGTTTGGGTGGGTGTGTCTCACAGACAGCTAGGATGCACTTCTCTGCTGGATTTGCGCTGCTATTACCTTGACCCCAAGCGTAATGAACGGAACAGAGGCATTGACTTAGGAATTGGCTTCCAGAACACTGATCTGAGCAGGCACCACCCGCTCACAGGGTCCACACCTCCCCCTGCTTGTCCCTTGACTTCCGTGCGGGGCATTTCTGCTGCTTTGGTGGGCGAGGCGGGCGCTCCAGGTGAGTGACATCTGAGCGTGCGTCTCCTTGCTCCTCGTAGGTGGGCTGGGGGCCCTGACTGGGCCAGGCCTGGCCAGCTTACTGGGGAGTGGAGGGCCTCCGGCGAGCAGCTCCTCATCCAGGTGAGCCTTGCCCCTGCCCCTGCTGCACCCTTGAGTGCCACCAGGAGTGAGTGCCCTTCTTCAAGAGGACTGGGCACAAGACTGTGCTTTCAGGGCTCACTCCTATAGTTTGTTACTGGAGAAGTTTCTCTGAACGTGTAGAGCACCCGAAACCATGAGGAGGCGTAGCGTTCTCTCCTGAGCGGGAAGCCGCCTCTTGGCTTGCTTCTGCAGCTGCCATTAGCCACTGATGATCGTTCTTCTCTTCCTAATGGAAGAGTCAGAGGGAGAGAATGCCTTCTGAGTGGCTTTTGAAAAAAAAGAAGACTGGACAGAGGAGATGCAGGACAAAGTGGGCTTCTGGGAGGGTCCTTTCATAGCCCAGGTTCTTCCCGGTGCAGGGCCTTTGGGGCAGGACCAACGTGGTGAGGGTACCTATGTGGGCGCCTGGCGGCTCCACCTGCCCTGCTCTTCCCAGCTCCCGGAGCCAGTCAGCAGCGGTGACCCCGTCCTCCACCGCCTCTTCTGCCCGAGCCACCCCAGCCCCTTCTGCTCCAGCAGCTGCCTCGGTGACCAGCCCGAGTCCCACGCCCAATCCAGGTAATGGAACCAGCACGGCAGCCAGCCCAACCCAGCCCATCCAGCTGAGCGACCTCCAGAACATTCTAGCCACTATGAACGTGCCGGCCGGGCCAGGAGGCAGCCAGCAAGGTAACGCGCCTCGGTTCCAGGGGTGAAGGTGCCCGCTGCCCCCTGCCCACTGGCTTCCCCAGGCACAGCCAAGCGTGTCCCTGGGCCGAGCTGCCGTCCTACACATGCGCTGCCGTTGCTCCCTCATCTCCTCTCGTCACACCGCACCCAGCAGAGCACAGCCTAGTTCGTCGCAGCCCTGCGAATGGGCACCTGGGCCGGCCTCAGCCCTCATGGCCGTGTGCTTGCGTCCTAGTTGACCTGGCCAGTGTCTTGACGCCCGAGATCATGGCACCTATCCTCGCCAACGCGGACGTCCAGGAGCGCCTGCTACCCTACCTGCCCTCTGGGGAGTCGCTGCCACAGACCGCAGAGGAGATCCAGAACACACTGACTTCCCCCCAGTTCCAGCAGGTAATGCCGCGGCCCAGCTGCCTGTCTTGACCTCGGCGCCCATCGCCAAGAGTCCCTGGCCTGCTGCCCGTGGCCCCGCCCCGTGCTTGCTCAGAGACGTCTGGCTCTTCTTTGCAGGCCCTGGGCATGTTCAGTGCGGCCTTGGCCTCAGGGCAGCTGGGCCCCCTCATGTGCCAGTTTGGCCTGCCTGCAGAGGCCGTGGAGGCCGCCAACAAGGGTGGTAAGTATTGCTCCTCCGCCTGCTGCTATGGCAGGACTTGGCGTCCTGTGGTTAAAGGCACAAGCCTCCTTGTTTGCACAACATAGGGCTGGCTGTCCCCAAGGCCCAGGAAGTTGGCCTCAGGCTTTTCAATGCGTTGTAGATGTGGAAGCTTTTGCCAAAGCGATGCAGAACAGTGCCAGATCGGAGCAGAAGGAGGGCGATGGGAAGGACAAGAAGGACGAAGAGGAGGACATGAGCTTAGATTAAGTTATTTGCTGTCTTTTACGGGCGGGGCTCCTGGCTGTGTGGACGAGCAGTGTGTTTGTGGGCCGTCGCACACCCTCACACCTCTGTTCTAACTTGCTAATAAATAAAAGTTTTTTCTTTTATCTGCCAACTCTGGTGTTTCTGTGCCCCGTCCCTGTGACAAGCTGTCCCTTGGTCCGCGGTGTTGGGTATTGTGACTTTGGAGAGGTGGGCCATGAGCCCCCCCCACCAGGCTCTCCCCACCTGTCCCGTGCTGTCCCTCTTTCTACATTTAAAAGTCAACACTCATAGGGCATGTGCGGGGGGTGGGAACCACGGGGAGAGGTCAGTGGGGGAAAGGAGACATGTAATACTTTAAACAATAAAGAATGAGAAAACAGGTGTTAAAAAAAAAGTTGACACTCAGTTACATAAGCTCCTTTTTAATTTTTGTTTCAAGAGAAGGGACCAGTGATTTACAGATTTCTCAATTAAATTGATGGAAGGAAAATCTCACAATTATAAACGATACAAAAAAACCCATTTTATTGTATTTTAAAGTTTCATTTAAAACGTCAGACATAACTTAAACCATTTCCTGTAGACTCAAGTCTAGGTAAGTTTATACAAACTTCATCTAGGAGACTGGCGGAGGGTGGTGGTGTCAGCAAGCTGTTAGGACAGCAGGCACCCTGAAGGTCCTCCTATGTGGCCGGGCAGCCACTGGCCCCCACCGCGCCCTGGACACCCGCAGAGCGCGGCAAGGTGACAAAGGCCCGGTTCACCATCAGATTCCTCATACAGCCTTGGTAGAATGGAGGCCAAGGGTGTGTGGGGGTGGGGTGCCCAGCCTGTGTGTCCGAGGGTCCTGGGGTGCAGGGGAAGAGGAAGGGAGACAGGTTGGAGCAGATTCCCACCACGGAGGGTGGAGTGAGAGCAGGTGACCCTGGTGCCTGGTCCCCGAGGGGCAGCTCCCCCACCTAGGCTGAGGTCACACTCACCGGGCAGGCCCCCCAAGTGCAGAGGCACTGGGGTGCTGTCTGAGGCCCGCAGCATGGGACCCAGGGTCTGGTTGCTCTGGGAGTCCACCTCCAGCCGGAGGGCGGTCCTGCTTTTGGTCACTGTGGGACACAGGCTCCTTGTGGCTGGACTGCGAGGGCCTCTCGGCAGCCGCAGAGCGGGAGGGCCCACCTGGAGTTTGGCCTCTGCAGCTTCGTCCTCCCGAGTCCCTCCCAGTCTCTCTGCTCTGCAGAAGCAGGGCTGCGGGATGTCAGGAATATCTCTGGTCGTGGGACAGGGGGCCCAGCTCACCTGCCAGTTGGTGCCACTGCCCGTCACACAGCTCCTTGGAGAGTGTCACCGATGCGGAGAACTTGCCAGCACCATCGTCTGCCCACAGCAGGACCTGGGTGGGGGCTGGGCATCAGGAGGGCCCTGCCAACCCCAATTCTGCCCTTTGGCCATGGACCACCCCCCACCCCGACTTACCTGCTTCTCCAGCACCTGCAGCTCTAGGTAGGGGGGCACCTGGAACTGGCCCAGGTGGAAGATGAGGCCTGTGGCTGTCTGGGGCCGCACCTCCAGCCTCAGGCTCACGTCAGGAAGGGTGGTCCCCAGGGTGTCTGCGGGGAGGGCCTGTGAGGGGACGAGGGCCTGGCCATGGCTCCCTCAACCCCACAGCCCAGGGCACATGCAGGGAGTGGGGGACAGCAGACAGACCTAGAGTGATGGCTCCCCTACTGCCGGCAAAGAACAGACCCATCTCCAGGGGTTCTGACAAGCAGGGTGTGACCCCCACCATTCGGTTGGGGGTACTCAGGGGCTGCCCGTCCACCATCAGTCTCCTCACACAACCGCTGAACCAGGAGCTGCTGATAAACATCTGTGGGGGCACAGGTGGGTGGACATGGGGTCAGGTTCAGGGGGTGCTGAGGAGGGTGGGCTGGGCTCGGACCGGGCAGGGGATGCGGGGGAGAGGCAGTTCTCACTGGGAGCTTGGGGCCGTGGACAGGAAGACCCCCCACAAAGAGCGTGTAGGGCTGGGGGCCTTCTGCCCCCTGATGCTGCTGGCCAGGCTCCTGGCCAGGCTGCTCCTGGCTCTGAGTCCAGACTCCGTCCACCTGCAGCTGGACCCGAGTCCTCGCCCATCGCACAGACACCTGGCGGTGGGAAGAGGCACATCAGGCGGGAGCCCCCAGGGCCCCGCCCACATCCCCTCTCTTCAGTCCCTCACCTTGTGCCACTGGTCAGCTTTTGAACGCTGGTGACTCAGGACGCGGAGCTCGGGCCCTGGGCCTTGTGTCTGAGCCACAAAGTATCTGTGGCTCAGGAAGAGCGCCAGGGAGGGGCTGCCCGCCGCCAGGGGCACGGCGAGGAGCAGGAGTCCTCTTCGGGTGCGAGGGCGGACCACCATGGAGAAGTGGGCCCTGGAAGCCAGCAGCCAGGCGGTGTCAGCCTGGGCAGCCCTCACCCCCGCCCCCACCTGGCCCGGTCTTACCAGTTCTCAAAGGGTGCCAGGACGGCTGTGAACTCCAGATAACTGGACAGGGGACCTCCAAACTGGTAGGTGCCGTGGACGGTCCCAAGGGGCCGAGGAGGCGTGCAGGCGGAGTCCTGGGTGGGCTGCCGGGTGTGCCGGGAGACCTGTGGGGTCAGATGGGGATGCGGGGGTGCTGAAGGGCCATCTTCTGCCCACCCCTAGCTCCACCTGCCTCCTGCCCTTTACCCTTACCCCCTGCCCTTGTCTCTCCCCCAATGCCTGTGGTGCCCACCTTCTGAGCCACTGTGGCCTGTAGTCCTCGAGGTGCCTGCACTGGTGCCTGGGTGCCAGGGGCTGCTGGGGCACACCCTGAGCTCACGTTGATACCGCCCACGTTCTGCTGCAGGTCGAGCACACGCTGGGGCCCCATGAGCCTGTGAGGACAGCGGGGGCAGTCAGCAGCTGGAGGCACCCGAGCAGGTGGGGTCAGCACAGCCCCCGACACCGCTCAGCGCACCGTTGGACAAACACGTTGGTGATGCAGCCGCTGAAGTTACGGATGGTGTTGGACGCCCCCAAGCCTCCCAGGAGGAGCCGATGGGGCCCCTCAGGCTGTGGCTGTGGCTGGGGCCTGGGGGGCGGCCCCTGGTGGGGCTTCATCTGCTGAAGCTGGTCGTCCACGTAGAGCCAGACCCTGTGAGGAGAGCAGTGTTTCGCCACCCTGTCCGCACACCTGCAGCAGCTGCACCCAAGACCCCGGCTCCGCTGCCGCCCCACCCTGTCCCCGGCTCACCCTGTGGTGTTGCTATAGAAAGCGACATAATGGGGGGAACCATCAGCAAAGCCCCCTGGCGTCTTCACCTCGGTCGTCACAAACCGGAGTGTCACGTGGCCCTGCTGCAGGGACACCTCACATGGCCCAACCTGGGGACAGAGGTCAGGTCAGCGGACCAAGCCAGGGGCCCAGACTTCCTCCAGCCACATGGGCCCCCCACTCTGCTGCAGTTAGTTTCAGGGAGGGCTGGGCAGAGGTGAGACTCGGGGAGGGAGGGCTAGGTCAGGCTTGGGGAGCAGCAGGCGGTCAGACCAAGACTGGGTGGACACACCGGGGACGCTCTGTGGTACAGCAGACCGCTGTCCTGGGTGCTGCGGAAGCCGAAGCCGGAGTAGACGCTGCTGGTGAGGGGGGCCACATCTGGGAGCTCCAGGGGCAGGAAGCCATGGCCATGGAATGTCATGGCCCGTCCCACCTACAGGGAGTGGAGTGTGAGGGCCCCAGCAAGCCTGCTGGAGAGGGGGCTGCTGGCTGGAGCGGGTGGGGGCTCACCAGCAAGTCCGCGGTGCAGCCGGCACTGATGCCCGTGGTGTTCAGCCGCTTGAGATCCACATACTTGCCCAGAGCTTTGATGCCCTTGATGCAGCCACGCACGGAGCCTCCGGATGGGAAGAGCTGGCGCAGGCTGTCGGGCAAACAAGTATTGGGGCACTGGCCTTGGGGAGAGAAGGGGGGCTGGACGTGGCTGAGACAGCGGGGGACCCCTGCCTGCCCTGTGTGTGCTCACCTCGGGGGCAGCTGGTCCGGAGGCACACCCCCCAAGTAGTAGGCGTTGGCCAGCTCCAGTACATTCTCCTGCTCCACACTGAACACACTGGCCCTCTCCACGCGCACCAGCACGCGCTTGCGGCCGGCCCCCAACAGGAACACCTGGATCTGATGGCAGGTCGGGGGGATCCTCAGCACCTGCGGTGTTCCTGCTGCCAGCCCAACCCCGCCTCGCCCTGCCGATCCTTCCCGCTTTAGCCTTACCGCCTTGCTGGCCATGGTCAGGGGCGGAGGGGGCTGCGTCGGTTTGGCCTCCTGCAGGCCCTCACCAAAGTCATAGAGCAGCACGAGGCGGCCTTCCAGCACGGCCAGGCACAGGAACTGGCCCTGTGGGGCGGGTGGGTCAGCATGGGGCGGGCCCAGCAGGCGGGGGCGGGGCCAGAGCGAGGCAGGCCCAGGGGTGGGTGAGTGGAGGTGAGTGAGGGTGGGGGGGGGGCGGGCTCGCCTGGTGCTGCAGGAAGAAGATGATCCCACTGTAGGACACCAGCCGCAGCTCCTGCTCGAAGCGCTTGGTGTTGCTGATCTGACTCTCCACTCTGATGCGGGCAAAGCCAGAGCCCTCCAGGTAGGAGCCGTCTGTGAGCCATGGGTCTCCAGTCGACTTGGTGCTGCAGGTCAGAGGTCACAGTCAGTGGGGAGTGGGCCGAGGAGGGAGAAGGGCGGGCCCAGGCCGCACATACCGTGCACAAGGCTTATCCACAGCTGTGTTGAGCTGGAAGGTCTTCTCGAAGTTGTAGAGACTGACCACCGCCTCGTTGAGCGTGCCCATCTCAATGCAGCCCCGGTAGCGGGGGAAGCGGAGAGGCTCCGGGGGCTGCGGGCACAGCACCTGGTCAGGGCGCCTCCCCGCCCAAGGCAGGCCCCAGAGGAGGGGCTCAGGCTGCGCAGACCCACTGAAGCCAGAAGCCCAGCAGGACTCGCTGGGACAAGAGTGCAGAGGGGTGGCCGAGGGGCAGGCCCTGCCAGGCTCACCGTGAAGTTGCTGGGGTAGCCCCCCACATAGAAGACGAAGTCGTCAGGGTGCAGGCTGAGTAGCCCCTCGGCCCCAGGGGCCACTGTGTCGCCCTTGGTCTCGTGGCTCATCTGTTTCTCCACAGTGACAGACATGTGGCCAAACTGTAGGGTCCTGAGGGCAGAGCGAAGGGGTTGGAGCAGACGTGCAGCCTGCCAGGGGCCGGGGGAGCGCGGGGCAGGCCTCCCACCTCTCAAGGCTGATGGCTGCAAATTCCTCCCCAATGTTCTCGTCGATGCTGAGGGTCGCGGGGCCTGCGCCCCCCAGGCGGTATACCCAGTGCACCTTCTGGTTACGCAGAGCCACGCCCATGTAGTCGCCAGTGGCCTGTGGTGGTGGGAGACTCAGTGGGACAGGATCCCAGTATGGCCCACCCACTCCAACCTGATGCCCATCTCTACCCAGCCTGCCAAGCTGGCCCAGTACCTGGCGGCTGCCCATATAGAGCACAAACTGATCCTCAGAGACCTGGTCGGACGTTGGCTCTGGGCTCTGGAGGTAGAACTTGAGGGCAGTGTAGGCAGCAAGGTCAGTGAGGTCCCGAGGGGCACGCAGCTGCACCCCCGAGCGCCCGTTGAACTTCATGGACACCTTGACCTGTGTGCAGGGTGCATGGCCCATCAGCATCCACCACCCAGTCCCCCAGATGCCCCCCTTCTTCTGGCACTCGTGCCCACCTTGCTGGCAGCTCCTCGGGCCTGGGCAATGAGCTCCCGCACACGGCCGATGCTGGCGGACAGGGCCAGGCTGGCGTTGTGCCCCCCACGGTTCTCTAGCAGGTTCAGCTTGGCCAGCAACTGTGGCAGCGTCTTCTCCAGGGTAGACACTGCAGGGGGGAGGGGGAAGGGGGGTGTGGCCTGAGAGCCCCGCTTCCCCCGGCCCACCTGCTCTCACGGGTGCTGCGTGCATGGGGGGCCCACCTGAGCGGCCAGCGTCCAGCACCACCTGCCCCAGGTCCTGGCTCTGCAGACCCCCGTACTGGCCTTGCCACTGCTCCACGTTTCTCTGCATGTCTCGGAGCCGGGACTGCACTCGGGCGGCCGTGTCCTGTGCTTTGGTGGCCACAGCCTTGGCGTGAGCAATCTTCTTGCTGGTCTCGTCTGTGGCAGGCAGTGGGCAGGCTTCAGCAGGGTCAAGAGAAGACCCTCCTGGCCTCCCCTCCCATCAGGGACATCACCAAGTCCCCTCCACTAGGACTAGCACCGGGGGCGCTGAGGACATGGAAACCCACCCTCCCTCCCCCACCAGATGGCTTCTCCATGCCAGCCTCATGGGCCAGAGCAGGGTCACCCTGAGCCTCCGCTCAGCCCTGTCTCCCCATAGCCACCACTGCCACCCCAGGCCATGCTCACCTCCCTGGGGCCCTGCCAGAGCCCCTGCGCCCCATGGCCACGCTCACGATGATGCTCTGCCCTGGGCGGCCACAGGGATTCCTCCAAAGCCAGTCAGCTATGGCTCCTCTGCTGCGAGCCGCCTGGGCTCTGCCACCCGAGCCTCCACCTGGCTCTCCTGCCACACCAGTCCCCTTGCACCCCCATCCACCTCCGTGCCTGCCTACAGACTGTACCTTCCCCGATGTCCCAGCATCCTGACCTCCCTCCCCCATAATTTCTCTCCAAAGCACTTCCTGTCCCTTCCCAGTTTTCACTTGCTACTTGGGTCTATTTTGTTTGGTGTTTGTCTCCCGACCAGAGGCGGGTCTCCAGGTCCAGGGTCGCCCCCTTCGGGGTTCTCTTCAGCTGTCCTGGTCACCATTTTGCATGGCACAGGTGTGGATGTGCCCCCACCACAGAGCCCTATGGGGCAGGGATGGCTGGAGTGGCCGGGCAGGTGTCTGTTCACCTCTGGGGACAAGCATGAGGGCAAGGGCAGGAAGGAGGCGCAACCTACCTGTGTCCATAGCCAGCATGGCCTGCACCTCCTGCACCCGGGCTGCCAGCTGCTCCTTCTTGGCCCGGGTATCATGGAGCTGGGTCCCAGTGCCCTGGAGGGTGGCCCTCACTGCAGAGGAGGCAGCCATAGCACCAAAGAGCCCCCAACCCCAGTGCATGTGTGCAGCCCACTTTGGCTCCCCTGACCACAGAGGTCTAAGGCGGGCAATGCCCACTGAGAGATGAAGACATCCAGTCAGCAGGGCTCTGGCTCAAGGGGAGGGGTGAGAGTACCCCGAGTCTCAGGGCTGCCTCCCAGTCCCACAGCACATATGTAATCCTCCCCATTTTATAGACGAAAGCATGGAGGCTCAGAAAAGCCAAGCCATTGCCCACAATTCTAGCTAAAGGGGGACCCTTCCCACTCCCCGCCTGCCCTTTCTCATCCAAAAGTCTGCCATGCACACAGCCTCCAGCCAGGGCAGCAGGAGGAACCATCAGCTGATCCCGTGCCCTCTGCCCTCTACAGCCCCAGGGCGGACACACCAAGCCAGTGGGGAGCAGGGTCCCCACAAGGGGCAGCTGACACTAGAACAATGCACAAACCCACACACGTGCCCAGAAGCTGAGGGTCCCTGCAGAGCCCAGCACTCACCGCGGCCCAGCCTCTGCTGCTCCCTGAGAACAGCCTGCTCCAGGGCACTGCTGTTGGCCCGCAGCTCCCGGGCTCGGGGCGCCAGGCCCTGCTGCACCGCCATCTGCAGACATGGGGACAGGGCACACTTCATACCCACGCAGTGGGAGCAGCAGGGCAGGGGCAGGGGCAGAGGCAGGGGCAGGGGCAGGGCCTCACCGCCCACGTGTGGCCTGCCTGCTGCAGTGCCTGGCCGGCTGCACCCTCGGCGGCCTGCACAGCCCGCAGGATGCTGCTGTAGGCGTTGGCGGCCTCGATGGCCCGCTGGATGAACCGGTCCTGGTTGACTCCACGGATGATGCTGTGGAGGGAGGGGCCCAGATATCCTCAGGCCAGCACATGGGCCCCCACCATCAGTTGCTAGGCCAGCCTGCCTGTGGGGCCGGCCTCCTGTGAGCACAGTGACTTCTCCCTCTAGGACCTGCCGGACCAACTGTGCCCCTGGAGGCCTTGACTCCCCTGGCAGGACCTGACTGTGTCCCTAGAGCACCCCTCATAGGCCCGCGCACCTGGAGAGGTTGTGTGCCAGCTGGTCCAGCTGCCGCGCGTGGGCCTCAGCAGCCTCCACCAGGTCCACCTTGCCACTGGCAGGGGAGAAGGCACGTATCTTCTCCAGCAACGGTGTCCAGGCCCCATCGAGGCTGGCAGCCAGGTGCTCATACTCCTGGGGGCAGAGGGGCTTGGTGAGACCCTTGTCCCCACCAAGCCCCTCTCGCTATCCTGATCTGGGACCCCAGGGGTCGGTCACTCTGCATGCATACTCGTCCAACCTCGCCTGGGGTACAGCCCTGGGAGGGGCAGTGCTCACCTCCTTGGCCCGGTCCATGCCGTGCAGAAGCTCAGAGACCCGGGCCAGGGTATCGCTGGCAGCCTGCAGAGTGTCCCTCAGAGTGGCATTGTCACGGAACAGCTCCTGCTTCCAGTGCTGGAGGGGTGAGGAGTGAACAGGAGGGGACAGAAACACAGAGGCAGGATGGGGTGAGGGGGTGGGTAATTGGGTGAGGGCTGAAGGGGTGAAGGAGGGTGATGGGAGAGGTGGGGCTTCAGGGCAGGGAGGGTGAAAGGGTGAGAGGAAGTGAGGGGGTAAAGGGGGGAGAGGGAGGGAGGTCCCGCACCAGGGCCTCCTCCAGGCGCTCCTGGTTGCGGCTGTTGAGTTCCTCGGCCTCCCGCGTGGTGCCCACTGCCCGGTTCAGGGCTTCTCGCAAGTCCATGAGGCCAGCCTCATGCTGGGCCAGCTGGTCACGCGTGCGGGCAGCCAGCGCCTGGTTCCCCTCCCAGCGGCTGGTCAGCTGCTCCTGCACGCGGGCCAGCACTGGCAGAGACCCAATACGGGGATGGTCACTTGGGCAGTGACCACTCCATGCTGACCTCAGCCCGGGACTTCTGGCTGAGTCCTCGCCCCTCCCCACCTCTGCCCTGTGGGCCGACCACTTACGTCTCTGGGCCTCATTCAGCTCGGCCTCAGCCACTGCCCGTGGGGCCCCCAGGTCACGGGCCCGCATTTCCCCCAGCAGTCGGTCCACCTTGGCCAGTGTCTGACGCAGCTGCTCCCCGGATGGGGCCGAGGCATTGCCCGGCGACAGGTGGTCTGTCATGAGCTCTGAGGGTTTGAGAAGACGCCATCAAGCCCAGGGCCGACCTCGGCCCACTGGCTTCCAGGCCGAGGCCCTGCCCCAGCATCATCAGCACATCCCAGGAAGGTCCCTGCCAGCCTGGCCCTCTGGCCCACACCCCTCACTCCACAGCCCCACAGCCCCACAGCCCCATCCCTCTGCTCAGCCACTCCCTTGGCCAATCCCTCCTCCGGTCCAGCGCTCAGCTGACTGCACTTCTCCCGGACTCTTGGGCTGGACCAGGTCCCCTCTGATCTCTTCTTGGTGTGGCATTTCCGTTTGTAGTGACGGTGCTCACCATCGAGTCTTCCCAGACAGGTAGGTGCCTGTGAGGGATGCTCAGGCCCATTCTGCAGTGTCCACCCGCCCTCGCGCTCTGGCCACACCCGCCACTGCTCCCACCTCCCGACCGCCCTGCTGTTCCCTGGGTGAGCACCATCTCCCCGTTGAAGCATCTGGACCCTGCCGGCTCCTCAAGGTCGAGCCGCCTGGAGGCAGCCCCTGCTCTGAGCCTTGAGCATCATTCTGCTCACCCGCTGCCCCGCCTGCCTGGGCCAGCCCCTACCGCTCAGGGTTCGGTCCAGGGCCAGGATGGCCTTCAGCAGCGCCTGTGCCCGGCCCAGTGTGGCCTCCGTGCTGTCCAGCAGCTGTCCAGCCCTGACTCGGGCCCCTGTGGCCTGTGGACACAGTACCCCATCAGCCCACAGCCTCTGCTGGCTGGAGGGTGTGGGGAAAGGCCAGGGGCCTGGGGAGTGGCCTTGGGCCCGAGCTGAGGGTCGGGAGTGACAATGGATGGTTTGGGGCTCAGGGAGAGGGGCCTATGAGAGGAGGCTACTGAGGGGAAGGGGCCTAGGGGCCTCGGGTCCTGCCTGGCTGTCCATCTGCTGGGTGTCCTGCCCGAGGCTCTTGCTCTGTCTCTCCAGTGCCTCCAGCTGCTGTGCGGTCTCATGGCGGGGGCCTGCGGGGCTCCGGAGCTGGCTCTGGGGGGAAGGGACAGTGAGGGCCTGCCGCCTGGGATGCGGAGGCCAGGGGCCACAGCTCAGTACCTGCAGGTCCGCGATGGAGGCATTCAGCCTGTGCAGCCGGGCCCAGGCCAGGGAGCTGGTGTTGACGCCTCGCAGCTGCTCCCGGATGGCGGGGAGGAGGGTGCCGGCCCGCTCCAGGTCGTCCAGGAGCAGGACCACGCAGTGGTCACACACTGCGGGCAGGCGGGCAGGTCAGTGCAGGGCGTGGGGTGGCCATGGGCAGGGAGGTCTCGGGGTCCACGTGGTGGGGATGGGTCAGCCAGGGGTCATGGAGTTGGCATGGGGGCACTGAGCTGGGCTACGGGGACAATGCTGGTGAGGGCCAGAGGTCTCATTGGGAGGGGGTCCGAGGGTCAATGGAAGGACAGGTGTGGGGTCCCTCGGAAAATTGAGAGGGAAATTTGAGGCCACAGGACTCCTCTGCAAGTTCAAGTTCGTGCTGGGGTCACCAGGGCAGTGCCAAGCTGGGGTGAGACGGGTGTGGTCAGATGGGTGGAGGTGAGTGTGGGGACTCACCTTCGCAGTGCACGCCACCGCTCCCAGGACCGCCAGGCACCAGCACCTGGTGCTGGTGGCTACATGTGTCACAGCGCTCCCCGCTGAGCCCAGGGGGACACGTGCAGCGGCCCGTGTGCATGTCACAGTGGCCCTCCTGGCACTGGCAGCCTGGGGCGGGGGAAGGGTAGGATAGGGTGTGTGGCTGGCAGAGGGACCTGGGTACCCGCCACCCTGAGGTGCCCCACCCCATGGTGCCCTGCCTGTGGCACTCACGCCTGCAGCCCTGCTCGGGGAGCCCCCAGTGGCCGGGGGCACACTCTCGGCACTGGAGCCCCCCAGCCCCTGGCCAGCAGTGACACTGTCCGCTCTGGGGGTGGCACTCGGAGCCCTTGGAGGCTGGTCCACAGGCGCACGGGCGGCAACCCCCGCAGCCCTCGAAGCCGAAGTGTCCTTCCTGCAGGCACAGGTGTGGTCACAGCTCTGCCCAGCCCTCAAGACCCGGCTTCCTCCACTCCTTCAACCCCAGGCCCGCCTTCAGCACTGAGGCCCCACCCCTGCAGCCCCAGGACCCTCCAGTCCCGAGGCCCCACCCCTGCAGCCCCAGGCCCCTCCAGTCCCGAGGCCCCACCCCTGCAGCCCCAGGCCCCTCCAGTCCCGAGGCCCCACCCCTGCAGCCCCAGGCCCCTCCAGTCCCGAGGCCCCACCCTTGTACAAGGCAGTACCCGCTATGGGGGTCACAGGCCTCTGTCCCACACGGGGAGCAGTCGCACCCTGCAGAAGATGGGCTGTGACAGCAGCCCTCCCCTCGCCAAGCTTCTTCCTGCCCTCACCAAGCTTCGTGAGCTCCTGCTCCCTCCATCTCCTCCCGCCCCCACGGGAACCCCGGGACCTCACTTTGTATCCACCTCCTCCACCCCTGCTCCAGGCCTCTCCAGACGGCCAGGCCCTCCGCTCCCATCACACAGCTGCTGTTTACGTCCCACTCTGCCCTCCTCCCCTGCAGCCCAGGCTCAGCCAGGCCTGGCAGGAGCCTCACGGATGCCTCAGCAGAGGCCAGGCCCCAAGCTACCCTGGGTCTCATGGGGGAGGACTGGCTGGGTCCACCCTCTTCTTGCTGGGCCCAGCATGGGACACAGCCTGCTCCCAGGGGACACCCAGCATCCCCCCCACACACTGGACCACTTCTCCCCTGGGGCCTACGGGTGCAGTTGCCAGGCAGCAGGGCGTTGCCATAGAAGCCCGGGGCGCAGGTCTCGCAGTGGGGCCCGGTGGTGTGGCGCAGGCAGCTGTGGCAAGCGCCCGTCAGGGGGTCGCAGTCCTTGAAGATCATGTTGGGGTCCCCGTTGCCGCTGCAGTTGCAGGGCTGGCATGAGCTGCCCAGCACCAGCGGGTTCCCGAAGAAGCCAGGGGCGCACCTGAGACGAGGGCGGGGTCAGCAGCCGGTGTGGCTGTGCTTGAGTCCCGCCCCAGCCCCAGCCCAGCTTGCCCCCAGCCGCTCCTGCCAGGCTCACCGCTCACAGGAGGCTCCTGCGTAGCCGGGTTTGCAGAGACACTGGGGGCGGCCGCCTGGAAAGACGCAGCCCACGGCGAAGCTACAAAAACGGAGGGTTGTCACGCACCTATGCACCCCGCGGGAGCACCTGCACATCCAGGCGGGAGCACTTGCACACCCGCGGAGCACTGCGCACCCCGAGGGAGCACCTGCGCACCCGCGGGAGCACCTGCACACCCCGCGGGAGCACCTGCGCATCCCAGGCGAGAGCACCTGCGCATCCAGGCGAGAGCACCTGCGCACCCCGCGGGAGCACCTGCACACCCCGCGGGAGCACCTGCACACCCCGAGGGAGCACCTGCACACCCCGCGGGAGCACCTGCACACCCCGAGGGAGCACCTGCACACCCCGCGGGAGCACCTGCACACCCCGCGGGAGCACCTGCGCATCCAGGCGGGAGCACCTGCACACCCCGAGGGAGCACCTGCGCACCCCGCGGGAGCACCTGCGCATCCAGGCGGGAGCACCTGCACACCCCGAGGGAGCACCTGCGCACCCCGCGGGAGCACCTGCGCATCCAGGCGGGAGCACCTGCACACCCCGAGGGAGCACCTGCACACCCCGAGGGAGCACCTGCGGGAGCACCTGCGCATCCAGGCAGGAGCACCTGCACACCCCGCGGGAGCACCTGCGCATCCAGGCGGGGCCACCGCGCTGCCCGACCTCCCGGAGGCCAGTGCCGACTCAGCCAGCTTACTTGTTGGAAGGCACCGACACCGGGCAGGGGCAGCTGACGCAGGGGGCTGCAGGGTCCTCTGTCCCAATGCGCACGAAGCCGGCCTGGCAGCGCTCACAGTGGTCGCCCTCGGTGTTGTGCTGGCAGTCCTGGGCGGAGGGACAGGTCAGCGCTGACGGTGGAGGCCCCAGTTCCCACCCCAACCCGGCTGGGGGCCCTGCCCAGGGCGCTGACCCACAGGTCCCCACTGGCTCCCTCCACCGAGTCCCACTCACCATGCAGGTGCCCAAGCCTGGGATGCAGAGGTCCGAGTGGCCATGGCACTGACAGGGGATGCAGCGGCCCAGAAAGAGGCCTTTGATGTCCCGGTAGTAGCCAGGGGCACATTCCTGGGGGGGCATCGGTGGTCAGGGAAGGAGGCTCACAGGTCAGATTCAGACCAGCGGTGGACGGGGCAGTGGATGGTCAAGGGCTGGCAGGGACTCGGGGTGACAGTAGATTAGCAGACAGATGAGCAAGCGGCTGGCTCAGCCTGCGGTGGGAAGGTCGGGGTGCTTGGAGGGTGACACCCAGCGGGTGGAGAGAAGGGTTGGCGACACCCATGGGGATGGAAGGCAAGAGTGGACGCTGGGGGGGGGGGGGCAGATGTGCGTGGGTGGGGCAGCCTGACGGTGCCTGCCCCTCCCCACCTCACCTGGCACGAGTCCCCGAGGTAATTGGCAGGGCACATGCACAGCTCCACATTGCTGGCCAGCGGTCCCCCGCCCATCTTGCTGGCCACCTCCAGGGCCACCCTGCCCAGGGAGACGGCTCTGGAGAACTTGGAGAAGAGGGCGCGGATCTGCAGCTGCTGCAGGCCGGCCAGCACCATCATGAGCTCCTCGCGGGACACGGCGCTGTGGGTCTCCGTGTGCCGGAAGTTACCCTGCAGGGCCACCACAGGTCCTCAGTGGGGCAGACCAGGAGCCCAGAACAGACCCTCCCATGGGGACGGGGCTCTCGGGTCATGTGGGCAGGAGGGGGTTACACTCGAAGCTGGAACCACCCACCCTGGGGGGAAGCAGCGCCGGGTCCCTACCTCGCCATGCACAAAAGCCAGCTTGGGCACGTGAGATTTTAAACACACAAAGACAGTTTAAGCTTTTAGAGAAAACGTATGTGCGTGCTTCCTGATCTCAGAGAGACAAATACTTCCTTAAGAGAGACACAGCAATACTAACTGCCAATGAGAAATCCATGAATCTGAGCACATAAATGTCAGAACCGTTCTTCAGACGACATCTTAGCAAAGACAGGTGAGCCGGCAGCTGGGCGGCAACAGCCATGTCTCCAAAGACAGGAATGACTCAGAACTCCTCTCGGAGGACAGACAACAGGCCGAGAGAGAAATGGGCGAAGACACACACAGGGCCCAGCTGGGGGCAGGGATGAGGGGCCAGCATGGGCTGGGAGCGCTGCCCACGGGCAACCACAAAAGCGAGCGTGGGACCAGCCCTGTCCTGCTCCTGGACCACTTTCCAACATGAGTGGGCACAGCAGTCCTGGCCCCTTTTGGCCTTTTCTGGGCCATGCTGGGTTCCAAAGGGACGTGGGCCTGCAGCCAGCGCCACTCACTTCCACCAGCTGCAGCTGCCCCTGGTGCACGTGCCCGGGCTCCGAGTATCCCGGCTCCAGGAACATGATGCTCATCTGGTTGCCCTGGGGAGGTGGGCAAGTGCGTGGTCAGGGCTGCCCACTGTCCTGGCTCGGCTGTGCCCGCCTCCCACCCGCCGCGCCGCCCCGGCAGCCACCTGCAGCAGCACGTCTGGCCTGCTCTCTGTGGGGAGGAACACGTCTCCCCGCTGGCTCTCCGCGTGCAGCTCATAGCGGAGCGTCCCCCCGTAGGACGACACCTGGAGAGGGGACAGAGGAATGTGACCTGGCCAGACCCTCGCCACAGGCCAGCGTCTTGAGCAACACTGGGCCGGTCCTGTGGGTTCATGGAGCCCCCACGCCTCCCAGGACACGGCACCCTCCTGAGCCCGATGTGCCCGCTCACCCGGTCCCCCAGGTAGGAGGGCGGTGCGTGCCAGTACAGCTCGGGGACGGTCTCGGGGACGTGCTGCAGGTCCGCGTGGAGCAGCCCCGCCTCCGCCCGCAGCTCGTGGGGCACCACTTGCCGGTCACTGCTCAGCAGCATCCAGCCCTCCATGTCCATGAACTGTGGGTGCACGGGCGGGCACCCCGTGAGCTCCATGTTACAGGGCCCACCCCACACTGCAAACCCGAGAACTGTGGGCGCACGGGCGGGCACCCCGTGAGTCCCACGTCACAGGGCCCACCCCACACTGCAAACCCGGGAAGCCTCTTGCGGCCCTGCTCACGCACCTCCTGGCGGGTGTGGACGGAGCTCCCGCAGCGCTCCGTGGCACCGAAGCAGAAGCAGCGGGTGCAGCCTTTGGGGTTGGCAGCGTCCAGGGAGAAGGTTCCCAGGCGGCACTGGTCACATCGGGGGCCCTGAACGTTCTCCTGGGGCAGGAGGCCAGGGCAAGGCAGTTGGCCAGCGATGTCCTGGCCCTCAACCGCCTCGGCTCCCTGTCAACTCCTTGCCAACGGGCCACTCTCCCAAAAGCTTCTGGGGAGCCCGCCCTGCCCCCCGGCCTCCTGTCCCTCACCTTGCAGTGACACTGGCCCGTGAGGGGGTCACACACGCCTGGCGCAGAGCCGGCCTGGTGGCAGTCACAGGGGCGGCAGCTGGGGTAGCCATAGAAGCCAGGAGCACAGGTGTCGCAGCGGCGCCCGGCCACGTTGGGTCTGCACCTGCCGGAGGGGTGCAGAAGCGGACTGGGCCTCCCCGCTGCCAGGACCCCTCGCGCCGCAGCGAGAAGGCAGGCGGTCCCCTGCCCCCCAGAACTGAACCCAGCTGGCTCACTTGCACTGGCCGCTGTCCTTGTCACAGGTGGGGTCTGCCAGCTCCTGCACTCCGGGCCTCGAGCAGTTGCACTCCTCGCAGCCAACCAGCGGGTGGCAGCCGAAGGTCCGGGGCTGGCAGGTGACGCAGCCGGGCGGGACGGTGCGCGGGGGGCACAGGCAGTGGCCCGTGAGCTCGTCACACAGGCGCCCCTCACAGTCGCAGGCTGCGGGGAGCGTGCACAGCTGGTGGCCCCTCTGCCCCGCACGGAGGCCCCAGATGGCAGCCCTGGGCTCGAGGCCAGGACAACCCTCCCCACCTCCCGGCCCTGCTCCACCCAGCTCTGGGCCCTGGCCTCAGGCAGCTGCTCTGATGTGGGGTCAGCCACCTGGAATCGCTGTCCTAGAACCTTCTGGACAACCCTGCAAAGCCTGGGCCGGCTGCTGCCTGAGGTCCCACAAGACAGGAGGTGGCTGGGCTGGTCTGCAGGCTCAATGCTCTCCTGACCAATGTCCACACTTCCTGGTGGGAAGCCCCTCTGAGTTTAGGCACCATCCCCTCGCTGGCGGACCCGTGGACTGAAGTACTCACGTCTGCAGTTGGGGAAGCCCCAGTAGCCGGTGGCGCAGCGGGAGCAGTCTCGGCCAATGACGTGAGGACGGCAGGGACACTGGCCCCCATAGGGCTCACATGTGGGGCTGGTGGCACCTACTTCATGGCAGCCACAAGGCCGAGCCCCATTGTTATAGAAGAGGGAGAGAGAGGTGGCCGCATCTCGGCAGAACTGGGACGAGCTGGTGGGGCTGGGGTGAGGGGCAGGTGGTGAGGCCGTCTCCCTGCCCGGAACCCCCGCCCTGCCCCCCCCCCCCCCGCCAGCAGAGCCCAGCCCACCTGATGTGGTAGCCATGGACGGCACACTGGCTGATGAAGTCGTAGGACTTGTCCAGAGGCTCCTCCTGGAGGTAGCTGGAGCTGTAGGCGTCCTCGGGGACCACCAGCACGTACTCCTAGAGAACCAGGGTCTGGTCACCTCCCATGGGCCCAGCAGAGAGCCCGGGTCAGGGGACTGTGCCACAGGCCGCCCGCTGGAGCTCAATTCCGGGGGCCTCTGCACTGGCCAGGCAGCTGAGACAGTGGGGGCATCACACCCCAGCCCTGGGCCCCCACCTTGACTGCTCAGAGAGAGGCCAGCCTCCGTGGCCTAATGGGAGCTCGGGGAGCTCGGAGGCAGCACCGCGGAAGAGCACCCAGCATCCCGGGGCCCCTCCCTCCTTTTCTGCCGGGCACCCTTCCTCTCCACCCCCTGGCCCCACCTCCTCCAGGGAGACCACTCTGACCAGCAGGACCTGGGCCATCATCTGAGCTCTTAGGTCCCCTCTGGAGTCTTATGTGGGGGACCTGGAAGTCCCCAGAGGCTGCTGGCCCCTGACCCCTGGCATGGGGCGAGGCCATGGCAGGCAGGGGACGCATCCTGGCTGAATGACTGCTGGTGGTGTGACAAGTGTGAGGCCGGGTGTGAGGAGCGAGGTGTGCGCAGGTTCAGGACATCTACATCAGGGACACCAGCCTCGGACTCACCACCCAGAGCCAGCGGCCCTCGGGCACACGCACGGTCACGGTGAGCTCGCTGTCGGTCACGTCCAGGATGGCCTGGCCCTCACACACCACCAGGCTGCGGCAGCCATAGCCATGTGGGCAGAAGGTGGCATTGGCATGCCCTGGAGAGGCAAGAAAAGGCAGGTCATCCCCAACACTCACAGAACCCCGGGCCCCAGGCCTCCTCCGGGCAGGGCCGTCCTGCAGTCACCAGGGAGGAGGGACTAGGCCCTCACGCTACTCGGACCAGCCGTGGCCCCTGGGCTTGACTGAGCGGGAACAAAATAGGCAAACACATAGAACACGTCATCAACAAGTGCCCCGTAGCAAACCCTTGATTGCCTGTGGGTGACGGGTGACCCCTAACTCCTAAAACAGACATGAGGAACAGAGTCAGGGAGGGGCTGGGAGGCGGGGCTGCCGGCACTGGACACTGGGTGGGCCCGGGGGCATCTCGTTTGAGAACTGACGACGGGAGGGGTGTGCGGACCTGTCACTCACAGCCAAGTGACAGGCACCGTGCCATGGGCCACGGGAGCCACACACCATCTGTGCACATTGCGTGGTGACCACACGGGGCTGTGTGGATGCGGGAGCCCTGCCGGGCACCTGGTCCGGAGTCCGCCCCGCCCCCCGCCCCCGCCCCCCTGCCCAATGCGCTCACCCTGCCAGATGCGGCCCCCGTTCACGAGGACCTCCACGGCGAAGGTGGGGTGGGCGGGCTGGTAGCCGTGCAGCAGGAAGGCGTAGCGGCCCAGGGCGGGCACGTGGGTGGTGAAGACCACCGTCCCCTGCAGGGCCAGGCTCCGTGAGTGGGCAGGTGTGTGGACACAGGTTCCCCTGCACATCCCGCCTCGCCCACACCCATCTGCGGGCCTGGGTCCTCACCTGGGGGTGTCGTAGCAAGGTGGGCTCGGCATCGGGGTCCACGGCAGTGGGGGGCCGTGGCTGGGGTCCAGACGGGGGTGCACCCGGCGTGAGCTCCTGCGAGTGGGTCAGTGGGAGGCCGGGCGGCAATGGCAGCACCAGGCAGTCCCTGAGGATGGTGGGCTGGGGCGGCTTCGGGAAGCGGGAGGGCAGGCAGGCGGCACTGGGAGGGGCACGGGGATGAGTGCCGGCCTGGCCGTGAGGCGGCACTGGGAGGGGCACGGGGATGAGTGCCGGCCTGGCCGTGTGCCCAGCAGGCCGCTCAGCCCTCCCGCCGCTCAGCCCTCCCGCCGCTCAGCCCCTCCCAGCCCCACTACCTGCTGGGGCTGAAGGCCCCGTGGCTGCTAACACAGCGGACCCGGGGCTCCACAAACTCCAAACTGAACGTCTCCATGGGCACCAGGGTGATACTGTGCTGTGGGCAGAGGGCCAGGCGTGGACGTGGGCGCGCAGGTGGAGTCTGTCCACACTGGTGTCCAACCCGAGTCCTGCTCTTGACACCAAGTCCCTGCCTGGCTCCGCCAGCTCCTCCTCTGGCTGCACAACCTCAACCCTGAGTGCAGCTTCTGGGCCTGGGCACCTCCTAGTGGTCCCCAAGGCCGGCCCTCTCCGCCAGCCACCCCACTGCCACCTGCAGGTTGACCGCCTGCCCCCCAACTCCCGGGATGGGTTTACGGCGGGCATTTCTGCCCAGTGCCGCCCACTGCAAGCGAGACAAACGAGACAAATGTGACCAAGCAGATGCATCGCAGCACAGGCAGGAACACTGCGTGGCCACGGCAACGCACGCGTCGGTCCCCACAGGGTCAGCGGAAGGGCGCCCTGTGATTGTCACAGAAAGTCCCTGAACAGGCAGAGGAAGGGTGCTGCCCGTTGGGGGGTGGCTGCCCTGGGCGCTCTCCCATGTGCATGGAAAGCTGGACACACCCCAGTCCACGACCACCAGGCCGGGCAACGCATGTGGTCCCAGCCCACAGCCCAGGAGCAGCCGCAGTCGTCTCTGACGTTAGCACGGCAAACACACGGCTCCACAAAGAGGGACGAGCAACCCTGCCACGGCCACAGGCCGCCCTTCGCGTGGCCAGGCTCTCGTTGGTATTGGACGCTTATATAAAAACGGTGCACCTATCGCTCTGAAAACGTCCTAAAGGCCTAGGGAAGTGGATGCAACAGACCGTATGATACTTCACAGAGGGCAAACGCCATCGTGTCTGGCCTTGTGTTGATAAACCCTGATGCTTGGTTCTGGCTCCAAAACAGTGACGGGGGTTGCAGTGTTCTGTGATGACGGCTCAGTCACAACGGCTGGGTCAGCGCTGTGAGGCCCTGGGTCAGCGCTGTGAGGCCCTGGGTCAGCCCTGCCACCATGCTGCTGGGTGTCAAGCTTCAGGACCCGGCACAGACTCTTCCCAACCCCAGGGAGGGGCCCTGTTCACACGGGGATCTGCTTTGGTAAATTACACCGGAAAATGGACTTTTATGAAGATCACCTTTCTTTCCTCTCCTACTCCACTGCATCGTACTTCCTTATGTGGCCATGGTGCTATTAGTAAATAAATAGACATGTTATGCCCCCAGGAAAAAACCCTGCAGGTGAGAGGGTTCTGGAAGAACAGAGACAGGGCACGAGCTAACGGCGGCACTGGTGACGGCACCTGGGCTCATTACAGTCTCCTACTTTCTTTGATGTTGTTAATCCTCACCTGAGGATAAGTTTTCCATTGGTTTTTAGAGAGAGTGGAATGGAGGGAGGGAGGAGGAGAGAGAAAGGCAGAGAGAGAGAGAAAGAGAGAGAGAGAGAGAGAAGGGAGAGAGAGGAACATAGATGTGAGAGACACATCGATTGGTTGCTTCCTGCACGCACCCAATCGGGACTAGGGATTGAACCTACAACCCAAGTACATGCCCTTGACCAGCAATCAAACCCGAGGCCCTTGGGTGTGCAGGCTGGCGCTCTAACCACTGAGCCACAGGCCAGGGCTCTTCTCTCCACCCTTTATGCGGGTTTAAGATCTTCTGAGAGAGCTGCCACCATGGAGGTCCTGGGCCATGAGGTGAGGTGTCAGGGCCTTACCAGGAAGAAGTGTGCCTGCTGGGCCGTGAGCCGGACGCTGGCCTCTGTGCCCAGGTGGAAGGCCACCAGGTGGTGCTGCTCGTCCAGAGCGGTGCCCCGGCAGAGGGTGCTGGGGTGAGGCAGGGGCAGTCAGCAGGTGAGCAGCCCTGGGGCCCACATCCTCCCACCTCCGCCCTGAGTACCTGTACAGGCAGGGGAGCAGAGTGAGCGCCCCCTGCTGGGGGAGATGCTGGGGCGTGTGCACGGCCACACCCACCTCCTGGTGGGCCTCCTCATTGGCGTACTCCACCACCAGGGCATAGCGGCCTGGCCTCGGTACCGCCACCTGCAGCTGGACGTCCACCTGGGGGGGCAAGGCAATCAGAGGCCTGCCCAGCCCCCACCTGGAGAACAGGACCCCACATGCTCCCTGGGACACGTCCTTTCTACCCTTGCTGCCTGGGTCCCCCCGACCCAGCACTGCAGTCACTAGGTCCTCTGCCCTCTGCTCACTCTGGCCTCCCCGTCCCCCCAGCCTCATCTCTGCAGAGCACAGTGCCCAGAGGTCTAGCCTGAGCCTTGAGACTGAACCCACCACCCGCCACGTCCTCACAATGAGCCCAAGGGCTGGGGCCCAATACAGATGAGGCCCTGAGGGTGTCCTGCACCTGTGTCCTCTCACTGCAACATGGACCCCGTCCCCCAGGCCGAGGGTACCCTTCCCCACAGGCCTCGGCCCCGCCTGCCCCCCGTGGGGTCCCGGGACACGCACGTCGTTGCCCTGGCAGACAGCCAGCAGTGGGTGCGCGGGGCTGAGCTGCTCCCGGGGGCAGGGCCGGGGGAGGCTGTTGTCACGCAGACACAGGGCCTCGAGCCCAGGAGCCGAGGGGAAGCCATCCAGGGGCAGGTGGGTGTAGAGTAGGCAGCTGTGTGGGCGACACAGTCTTCGGTCAGCATGGGGCCAGAGGCCTGAGTACAGTGACGGTCAGGCCCCACCCCTCGCCAGGCCGGCCCTCACTTCTCCCCAGAATGCTGGGCGGCCGGCCGGAACGTGCAGGCCTCGGTCACCCGCAGCTGCAGCAGGGCCGCCTCGTAGTAGGCGCTGGGCAGCAGAACCACGTAGTCCTGCAGGTGGGAGGGGGAGTCAGTGCTGCGGCCCGTCCACCCGCTCAGCCCCCCGCTACCCTGTCAGCCCCCGCCTCACCAGGAGCACCCCTTCAGCCTCCACGAGCAGGGCCCAGGTTCCAGGGTTCAACACGAAGGGCTCCCCAAAGCCCCTCTGGGGCACGGTGACAAAGGCGGGCTCAGTGCTGGGCGGGAAGGCCACGGGCTGGCTCTGCTCCGTGCCTGGAGGTGGGGAGGGGGCGGGGCAATAAGAATGGACACAACCCCGACAGGTCACCCCAGGCCACACTCCGCAGGGCCAGCAGGCAGGCTGGCTTCCCCTCCTATGCATGGCCCAAGTTTGGGCTGGGGCTGGGTGGGATGGAGGTGTGAGTGGACGCAGGGGTCTGGGACAAGGTGGGGAGGGGAGGGGGGGTGTGGGAGTTGGCCCCCCGATGCACTCACAGGTTGGGACAGGTTGCAAAACTTGCCCCTCCTCCTGCACAGAGAACCCGCCCGCTCACTTGTCAAGGGGCCCCACGGTTTGACTTATCGGAATACGAGCCAAGAAGAGGTCCGGGGGAGGTCACGTTCAGCCTGGCCACAATCCTGGGCTGGGGGGGACATGGTAAATCGGGGTCACCCTCCCGCCATTCACAGCTGGGTCCTGTGGCCTCAGCGGCCTGCCCGCCCCACTGCGCACTGTAAGCTGCGCCCGGGGCAAGGGCAGCCCACACCCACCTGGATGGGTGCCATTTGTGCGTAGCCCCTCCAGCTAAAGTTCTCAAACTCAAGGGGGTTGAAGCCAAAGCGCACGGCGTGGCCCTCGGGCGTGGCCGCCTCCTCCAGCTCCAGGCGCAGGTGGTGCAGGTCAGGGAGGTAGTGGTCCGGCGCCGGCCTGGCCACAGCACGGGCGTCAGAGCAGCCCGCAGGCTGTTGGGGTGGGGCGGGCTCTGGGCCGGTACAGCCCCCAGGATCCCCAGGGACAAACCCAGAGGACCAGCTGCCTCCCACAGGCTGCTGCCCCCCAACAATCGGAATGGGGTACCCACTCGCTGCAGGTGGGGCCATGCGTGTTGGGGCGGCAGCGACAGGCGCCCGTTCTCGGCTCACAGCCCTGGCCCAGCGCACCGCCAACATCACACCGGCAGCCTGTACAGGAGGGAGGGGCGAGGTCGGTGCTGCCTGGCCCTCACCTGCCTCAGTGCTCCTCCCACAGCCTGGCCCAGGAGACAGGCCCTGGGGCTCCGTCCACCTTGTCAGGAGCAACAGGGGCTGAGAAGCCAACTGGGACTCTGCACAAGGGAGGCTCTGAGTCCAGGCCCAGGGCAAGGGAACTAGGAATGACTGGTGATGTCTGCTGGGGGTGCAGGACTGGAGGGAGGGGCCTGAGAGCAGAGCCTCTCCCACACCCAGCTCGGGCCTGGCCGGGCACCAGGCACAGCTCAGTGAGTCCCAGTCCGACATCTGGGCCTCCCCGTGCCCAGACCCCACCCGGCTCTTGACTCATCTGTCCCCCCCGGGCCTCAGCCCTCCCCAGGACGTGGTCTGAGGGCCCAGTAGGAGGGCACTCACTGCGGCAGCCGAAGTAGCCGGCCTGGCCCAGCCCGAAGAAGCCGTCCTTGCACACTGCGCAGGCCTGGCCGCACACGCGGGGCTTGCAGAAGCACTGGCCATTGCCCTGCGGGTGGAGGGCGAAGGTGGGACTAGGCAGGGAAGGGTGTCCCAGTGCATCTGCCTCTAGAGCCCCAGCACCTTGGCCCTCAGACTCACCAGCTGGCACTCGGCAGCTCCGCCCAGTGTGCCCCTGGGGTCGCAGTTGCAGCCTGGGGGAGGGGAAGAGCAGGCCTGACAGTGGGGGAGGGAGCAGGAGGGCCTGGACCCTGTGGGGCCAACCCTCACCTCCCTGTCCCTCCAGGGTTCTCCCCCAGCCCCAACATCCACTCTGGGCAGACTCACGGGTGCAGCCCTCAGGGTTGCTGGAACTCAGGCCCCAGAACCCAGGTTTACAGCGATCACAGCTTGGCCCCTCCACATGTGCCCGGCATGTACATGGGGCCTGTGCCTGGGAGAGGTTGAGACTGAGGGTCAGAGTGGGCCCCTCCCCTCCTATCCACAAACTCTCAGCCCTGGAGCCCTGGCCCTGCACCATCTCTGGCATCCCCCGGAGTGGGGACAGAGGACCAGCCAGGGGAACAAATGAGCCTGGAGATTTCCACAGTGACCAATCAGCAGGGGAAGCAACGTCTCAGCCCCACCAAGGGCTGACGTGGGCTCACCTCAGGAAGGACACGATCGGCGGGGGCCAGGCCAGCAGGGTGGCAGGAGCCAGCTGTGGAGACACCCGCTCGGTCATTCCTTAGTCATTGACCCAGGCCTGGCCAGGCCCCTCGGCTCCCACATGTGTCAACAGGCATGAAGATGTGCACCTCCATGCTCTGGTCCCCACACCACAAGGGCATGTGCCCTTCCCCCTCCCCAGCACATGGTCATGAACATGCCAAGCGCATCCAGCACATGAACACATGTGAACACACATGGACCCATGCACAGCACATGGACACATGCACCGCATCTGAACACACATGGACACAACCACAACACATGAACACACATCCAGGAACAAACATGCGGAGATGTGCATGGACACTAACAAGGCACATGGATACACACCCACAGCATACGAACCTCACATGAACACATGCAAGAACAACCACATGGACACACGCATGGGCACAGAGCACACAGACAGTGGCATGAACGCCCAGCACATGATGTGTGAGCCTGTCTTGCACATGGCACCAGCCTCACCTTCACAGTAGGGGAAGTTGTAGGTGCCGGGCACACACGTGTCACACCGCAGCCCGGTCACTCGGGGCCGGCAGCTGCACTGCCCGCTGCGGGGGTCACAGGCTGCGTCCAGGGAGCCGCGGGCAGAGCAGTGGCAGGCTGGGGAAGGACGGGGGTGTGGGCTCGGGCATGCGGTGGGATGCGCACCCCCCCTGCCTCCTGCAAGGACACTCACGGGCACAGGCGGGGAAGCCGTGGAAACCAGGGCTGCACTCCCGGCAGGTGGTGCCTGCGTAGCCAGGGCGGCAGCGACACACCCCGCCCACACTGCAGAGCTGATCCAGGGCCCCCTGGGGGTCGCAGTCGCAGGCTGCAAGAGACAGGGCAGGCCATGGGCACCGGCGGTGGCCTCCTACACCCCACCTCCAGGCTTCTGCCCAGTCCCGGCCCTCTGCTCACCTCGGCAGTCAGGGTAGCCATGGTGGCCGGGGCGACAGCGGTCACAGTGAGGGCCATCGAACTCGGGCCGGCACAGGCAGTGGCCAGCCTCGTCGCAGCCCTGGGACAGGGTCCCCGCGGTGCTGCAGCCACACACTGCGGGGCGGAGAGGGGCACAGGCTGCTGAGCAGGGCAGACAAGACCGCAGGCCCAGGCCCACCGTGCCCACTGGGGAGGCCTTGCTCACACTGGCAGAGGGGGAAGTGGAAGTAGCCAGGGGCGCAGCGGTCACATGTGGCCCCCTGGAAGCCCGCCCGGCATGTGCACTGGCCCGAGTCACGGTCACAGTCACCGTCCACCACTCCGGGGCTGGAACACTGGCACGCTGCGGGAGGGGAGGCCACACTTGGTCAGGGTCTAGGGGGGACGGGGACGGGGACGGGGACGGGGACGGGGCTGGACTCACGGTGGCAGTCCTGGCCGTAGAACCCTGGGGCACAGAGCTCGCAGTAGATGCCCTGGAAGTTGGGTTTGCACAGGCAGCGTCCGAACTGCGGGTCCTTCTGGCAGGCGTTGTCCTGGGTCCCCCCAGCGTTGCAGTCGCAGCCTGGGTGGGGGCAGGACGGAAGCCTCAGAGGCCCTGCCGACCGGCCCCTCCGCAGGAGGCCTCCCTTCCCCACAAGCCCAGATCCGTACATTCTACTCTGCACACGTCTAGACTGAAAGCCCTCCAAGGCGGTGGCACTGGGCTTATGGGGAGATCACTTCATAAGGTGTAGAAACAACGAACCACTATGTTGGACATCCAACACTAACATAATGTTGTATAAAAATTGTAATTGAAAAAATATATTTTTAAATTTTAAATCAAACAAATAAATGACAATAAAAATCCCAAGAAGGGAAAGTCGACGTTCCAGGGAAAACAGTGGTGAGTGACGAGATGAGGCGACTACACACACGTGGAGTCTTGGTCGTTTGTGATGTAGACACCAAGTCAACCATGGGCGTTCACACAACCACAAAACATTTACACTCAGAATCACGACACGCCAGGAGAAAATTCTAGTCTTTTTTGTTGTTATTAATCCTCACCAGAGGATATTTTTCCCATTGCCTTTTAGAGAGAGTGGAAGGGATGAAGGAAGGGGAGAGAGGGAGAGGGAGGGAAAGAGAGAGAGAGAGATAGAGAGAGAGAGAGAGAGACATTGGTGAAGACACATAGATTGGTTGCCTCCCGATTGGAGCCGGAGATCAAACCTGCAACCCAGTATGTGCCCTTGGCCAGGAATCAAACCCGTGACCCTTCGGTGTACAGGCCAACCACTGAGCAACACCAGGGGTAGGAAGAAAGGAGAAAAAATGTGTTAAAGTCTTAACTTGTGCATAAAAAGAGGGCCATACGTACAATTTAGATTTTGTTACTGAGAGAAAAAAACAGCTCAATATTTGTCCAAAGTATAAGGGTGACCATGGATCAGAATTTACAAACCCTCAGAGAAGAAAACACAAACCAACCAACCAAAACCAAAACATGTTTGGTTGCTCGACCAGCAAAAGGCAAGAGAGGAAAAATTAAGCAGAAAGGAGAAACGCCATCACCCCTGGCCCAGGCCAACTCCCGTCCGAGACAAAACCCTAAGGCGTCAGGTTGGCTCTAAAAGGACAATCCGGTCCGTCCTCCTGAAAGGACGCACCTCGAACTACTCAACAGGAAACAACGCCGATGACACGGAGCGCTCAGCGCAGGCGCAGAGTGGGGAGCGGGGAGATGAGGGACGCACATCCAAGGCCACGAGCATTAATGGGCACAAAAGGGTGTGTGTTGAGAAAACGGACTTGTGCCTCCTCACCCCAGAGGCAGCAAACCCAAGCCTCTGAGAGCAGAATAAACATGGTCTTAAGGTGCAGGAAGCTAAATAAACTACCAACATTTCAAGAGTTCGGCAAAACCAGACTCCTATAGAGACAGACTGAATAGGCTGTTCTCAGAATGGCAAAAACCACCCTCGGACAGAGAGGATTTAATAGCATAATTAACACGCGTGCTGGAACAGGTGCACACAGAGATCTGTATCCAACAGAGAACACGTGTTCCTGCCACATGACCATGGAACAACCCAAAAGGGTAAAAAACAAAATATTAAATTTCAAACACAAAAAGCAGAAATCGTGAGGCTACTGAATCTGACTATGATGTAGTAAAATGAGGACTGAACCAACAAAAAAAGGGCAGAGGCCTGGCCAGTGTGGCTCAGTGGTTGAGTGTCAATCTACAAACCAGGAGGTCATAGTTTGGTTGGTTGGGGCACATGCTGGGGTTGCGGGCTTGATCCCCAGTGTGGGGTGTGTGTGGGAGGCAGCCGATCGATGAGTCTCTTTCATTGTTGATGTTTCTATTTCCCTCTCCCTTTCCCTTCCTCTCTGAAATCAATAAAGAGATTTTTTTTTTTTTTTTAAAAAAGGGCAGAAAGAAAATCAAGCCACCAAGAATGACAAACATGCTTCTAAGAACTCTGGTCAAAAGCAAATAAAAACTGAAATGACCGAGTATGTAGAAAAAAGCAATAGTGAGAACACAACAATCAACCTTGTGGGATACACCTAGCCAAAGTTATACTCTGAGGCAAATTGATAGCTTTAGCCCAGGTTTCTCAACCTCAGTACCACTGACATTCTGGGCTGGACAACTTTCAGAGGGGTGGGGCCGTCCTATGCACTGTATGCTTTTTTTTTTAAAAAAAAATGTACTCTTCTTATTTTCTTTTAAATATATTTTTATTGATATCAGAGAGGAAGGGAGAAGGAGAGAGAACTAGAAACATCAATGATGAGAGAGAATCATTGACTGGCAACTCCTGCACACCCGACTCTGGGGATCGAACCTGCAACCCAGGCATGTGCCCTGACTGGGAATCGAACCGTGACCTCCTGGTTCATAGGTCAACGCTCAACCACTGAGCCACGCTGCCTGGGCATTGTATGATATTGTACACCCCTAGCCTCCCTCCACCCACTGGATGACAACAGCAGCCCCAGTTACAACATCCAAAAAGACATTTTAGACGTGTTCCTGTCAAGAAATAATTCAAGGCCGAAACCGGTTTGGCTCAGTGGATAGAGCGTCGGCCTGCGGACTGAAGGGTCCCAGGTTCGATTCCGGTCAGGGGCATGTACCTGGGTTGCGGGCACATCCCCAGTAGGAGATGTGCAGGAGGCAGCTGATCGATGTTTCTCTCTCATCGATGTTTCTAACTCTCTATCTCTCTCCCTTCCTCTCTGTAAAAAATCAATAATATATATATATATAAAAAAAAGAAATAATTCAAAAAGCTATCAAAAACAATAATAAACCACAAGAAAGGGTAGAGAAGGAATTAGAGATTTTAGTTCCAAAATTTCTATATAAGGAAGCAAGACCTCTGCCCCACATGAGTCAGAGAAAAGCCCAAGCAATCCTGTGCTATAACCGTGGGCTGTCCTTTGAAAAAGCAATAAATTCAATGCACTTCTGTTAGGTCAAATGAAGGAAGAGACAAAAAGAAAGAAAGAATAAAAATAGACAATCAAGAGTCACGGGTTTGATTCCCAGTCAAGGGTACCTACCTGTGAGCCCCTTTCCAAGTATTTTACAAGGCGACTTACACACCAAAGCAAGATGGCACAAACAAGCAAGAACCCTTTCAACCAGCCTCACTAATGAAGCCTTATGTTCATGGCGGGTCCATGTTAATAGAATTCGTCATATAATTCACAGGTTAAAAGTGAAATATGCTTGGGTGGGAACCTACTGAATTGAAGAAGATACTTGCAAACGCTACATTTGATAAGGGGCTAATATCCAAGATATATTAAAAATTCATAGCCCTAGCCGGTTTGGCTCAGTGGATAGAGCGTTAGCCTGTGGACTGAAGTGTTCCAGGTTTAATTCCGGTCAAGGGCACATGCTTGGTTGTGGACTCAATCCCAGTAGGGGGCATGCCGATCGATGACTCTCTCTCATCATTGATGTTTCAATCTCTCCCTCTCCCTTTCTCTCTGAAATCAATAAAAATATGTATTAAAAAACCCCTCATACAATTCAATATAAAAATAAAAAACCCATGCCGAAACCGGTTTGGCTCAGTGGATTGAGCGTCGGCTTGCGGACTGAAAGGTCCCAGGTTCGATTCCGGCCAAGGGCATGTACCTGGGTTGCGGGCACATCCCCAGTAGGAGATGTGCAGGAGGCAGCTGATCGATGCTTCTCTCTCATCGATGTTTCTAACTCTCTATCTCTCTCCCTTCCTCTCTGTAAAAAATCAATAAAATATATTAAAAAAAAAAAATTAAAAAAAAAAATAAATAAATAAAAAATAAAAATAAAAAACCCAAACAGCCCTGGCCAGGATTTCTCTCTCTCTCTCTAACAACAACAACAAAAATATCAATGAAAAATATCCTCAGGTGAAGATTAAAAAACCCACAGCCAAATAATCCAATGGGCAAGGACCTGAAGAGACACTACTCCAAAGAGGACATACAGAGGCCAAGAGACACATGAAAACACGCCCCACATCGCTAATCACTAGAGAGATGCACATCAAAACCACGGTGAGGTGCCACCTCACACCTGCCAGGATGGCTGCCATCAACACATCAACAAACGACAAGTGCTGGCGAGGATGCGGAGGAAAGGGAGCACTGCTGGAGGGAATGCAGACGGCGCAGCCACTGGGGAGAACAGTGTGGAGGTTCCTCAAACAATTAAAAATGGACCTGCCATTTGACCCAGTGATTCCACGTCGGGTTATTTATCCAAAGAAAATGAAAACACTAACTGGGAAAGCTGTCTGGCCCCAGCGATCCCGCAGCCTCACAACCGCCAAGGCCATGAAAGGACGGTGCCTGCAGATGAGACTGTGGCGTGCCCTCAACCAAAGACAGGTCCCCATTCCGGAGACGCTCAGAGGAGGAGTGTCGCCCGTGGGTGAGGACCAGGCTGTCAATATAAACCTTTCTGTGTCCCAAAGCAGTGACTTGATTAACGCGTGTGCCAACGCCTGACGCTGGCAGATCGTTTCACCTGAGAACCAGCTGGCGCCCCAGCCCGAGCGCCCCACGTGTGCCTGCCGGGCCGGGCAGACCCTCTCTGGGAAACCTTCCTACAGAAGGACTGAGGAGTATGGGAAGCTTGAGCCGCAAGGATGTTTATCGGAACATTATTTAAAAAGACGATTGGAAAGAGCCCGAAACCCCAGCGATTGCGTGTTGGCTGAAGAAACGCTACATCGTTCTGTGTGACACAGGACGAGAAGCGGCATGTCTGCAGGGGGGTGGTGGGTGGGAAACGCAATTCTGCAACAGTAGGCAGAGCACACATCCGTGTGAGTGAATGCCAGTGTGCGTGTCCAGAGGTCCCGGCGGCGCGAAGCGGGGTTGTTGGCGGGCTGCGACACGGGGAAATGTCTCCTTCGACGGTAAGCTTACTTAGATTTTTGACGGTTTTCTAGCATGACTATGTATTGTTCGCATAAAATGAAAAGAACCCAACTCAATGTGACTGAAGTGACTATCCCACCTCTCTGCGGGCCTCCGTGTGGCCCTCCTGCCCCCTGCTCCAGGGGCACCCCGGCGGAGCGGGGGCCTCAGGGACACTTACTCACAATCTGTCCGGCCTGCTGCACCTGTGCCACGGAGGAGTTGCGGGGGGAGGACACAGCTGGGGAGGAGACACGCATATCAGCCAGGTCGGCTCAGCACATGGAGGGAGGAGGCAGGACCAGAGGGTTCCCCAGGCCCGCCCCCGGCCAGCACCCTCACAGTAGCAGTGTGGGAAGCCCGTGAAGCCCGCAGCACACGCCTCGCACCGCGCCCCCGCGAAGTTGGGCCGGCAGTAGCAGCGGCCGGTCAGGTCCTCACACGTCCCGTCTGTGAAGTTTGACTCGCAGTTGCAACCTGGGTGGGGGCCGGGAGTCATGAGACCCAAGCCCAGGACTCAGGCCCAGGACGGGCAGTCTCTCCTCAATCTGGGCAGTGGGAGGAGAGCTGTGGCCGGGCCGCCCGGAGCGGTGGGAGGGCCCCGGGAGGCAGGGGGCCGGGGACCCTGGGATGCCCTGCTCCCAGCCACCCGTCCCCAGGACACCCCAGCCAGGTTGACCCCACTTACGACGGCAGGTGTGGGGCGAGTCCAGGGGCTGGTCGGGGTCGCGGTAGAAGCCGGGCAGGCAGCGTTCACAGTTGATGCCGGTGGTGTGATGCTGGGGGTAGAGGAGGGCCACTGAGTCCAGGGTGTCCCGTCCAGCAGCACCTCGGCCCCACCCACCCCGTGAGTGCCGCGGTCTCCTCGGAGCCCCGCCCACCTGGCAGGCGATGCACACGCCCCCGCCTTGGTAGACGCTGTCCTGGTTCTGGCTGGCATTGTGCCTGTCCACCTCAGGGTCGTAGTAGCAGTCGTCCGCGTGGCCGTGGCAGTTGCAGGCTGGAGGGAAGGGCAGGCACCCAGCTGTCAGCAGGACCCCCAGGCTACATCCCACAAACCACAGACAACCTCAGATGTGGCCAACCACACACATGTGCATATGCACTGTCAGTGTGTAAGCTTGTGTGAGTACAGCTGTGAACATGCATGTGAGTGTCCGCACATGAGCGGGTGAGCACCTGTGTCCATGTATGTGCGAACATGTGTGCTTATGCGTGTATGTGTAAGCACGTGTGTGAGTGTGTCCACGAGCACTGCGTGTGTATGTGAGCAGGAGTGAGCGCTGCCAGTGTGTAAGTGTGCATGAGACATGTGCATGTATGAGCTTGTGCAGAAGCATGTGTGCACGTGGGGGGCACTCACACTGACACTCGTTGGCACTCTCAGGTGTGGCCGGCTTCCACTGCTGCTGGTTGAAGCCAGGGCAGCAGCGCTCACAGGAGCCCCCACACGTGTTGTGCTGGCAGGCGCACTTCAGCCTGTGGGACACATGGCACAGCGGGCTCAGACCCCGCAGAGGAAGAGGCAGGAGGAAGCAGAGGCGCAGGGGCTGTGCGGGTGGGTGAGCTGTGCACGGGGTGCTGAGCGGTCAGCCTGGAGCACTGGGTCCTGGAGCTACGCCATCCCCACCAGGCCAGGCCCTGAAGCCCAGGTCTTGCTCAGCAGGCAGCCCTGAGCTCAGTCAGAAGCCCGTGAGTCCAGGGCACTCCCCAGAGGCAGGTGGCCAAGCACAGCTCCCCCTTCCAGCCGGGGGCGGACACCCGTGGCAGGGCTGGAACCCTGCCTGCTGTCCTCGAGAGCAGCTCCTGTTGGCTCAGTGGCAGGGGACAGCTGGCCGCAGCTGGGAACGGAGGTTGCGGCCACCTCCTGCAGACACTCATGCCAAAGCCCCACCCAGCCTAGGCCATATGTCCACCAAGGTGGGGCCAGAGTAGGCCCCATCTGAGCTGTGTGTTTCTGGGTCCTGGGCCAGCGCTGTGCATGACCCAGAGCTCCAATCTCACCACCCTAACCCCGTCCCCATGAGGGTCCGCAGGGCCTTGGGCGTCAGCACTGGTGTCCCTCGGCGTCCAGGGGCACCGGGAGGGCCTGCGTGGGAGAGGGGCCGGACAATCTGCCGCAGGGAGGCAGCCACAGGCTGCAGCTGCTGTTAGACTTTCCAATGATCGACGTGGGCAGGGCACCCCTAAGCTAAGGAATTCGCGTAGAGTTGTGCCAGGTTGGTGATACCCAGCGTGTTTGGCAAAAGCCCTCACAAAGCCACTCTGGAGGCTTCTTCCCGATCCAGGGCACGCGGGAGTCACAGAGGAGCAGGGCCGCCACCGCAGCAGACACAGGGCTGACCCAAAACCTTCACGGAGCAATGGGCAGACACCGTAAAACAAGGTCGCTTAAAGACTGTCACCGAAGGCAGCTAAAATTCAGGAAAAATGGGTGGGAAAATTAAATTAAAAAGAAAAATAGGTGGGTGTGACTAAAGAACCAGTCAGAATTCCTATAAACAAAAAGCAAAATGACTGCATTTAAGACTCAATGGGTGGGCTGCGCAGCAGGTCAGACGCAGTGAGGAGGCCGAGCGGAAGAAGGCAGCCTGGAGACAGGTGAGGGTCCAGACGTCCCGAGACAGAAGGAAACCATAACCGAATTCCAGAAGGAGAAAAGGGGCAGGTGAGGAGCCCAGCAGGCAGAGAGCTGACAGCCACGGGTGTCAAAAGGCCTGCGTCCTGGCCTGGCCGAGTGGCTCGGTTGGTGGGAGCATCGTCCTGTGCACCGAAAGGCGGCAGGTTTGATTCCTGGTCAAGGCACACACCCAGGTTGTAGGTTTGATCCCCAGTTGGGGCATGTGCGGGAGGCAGCCGATCGATGTTTCTCTCTCTCCCTTCCTCTCTCTACCAAAAAAAAAATAAAAAATAAAAAAATAAAAACCACAATTAAAAAAAAAAAAGCATGAGTCCCGAGGCAGAGAAAACATGTCCACCCCTTAACACCAGAGTGGACCACCAGAGCACCAAGACACAGAAACTTCCAGAAGATGCCCAGGCAACTCGCGCAGGATGGGGGACGCTCCCAAGCATCCGGAGATGCCGAGAGACCACGAAGCATTGAGAGACATGACCTGCAGCCGGAATTTCATAGTCAGCTGAAGCTTCACCCAAGAGTGAAGGCACACAGCCGTGTAGGCGACGACACACAGAACCGGGAAAGACTCACCAGCTGCCACAGACTGGCGTGTCCCCCCAGTTCACATGTGAAACCTGACGCCCAGACGGCCTGGGGGTCTATGGGGGGGGTCAGGTCATGAGGGTGGAGCCTTCATTCAAGGGATTAGTGTCCTTATAAAAGCACCCGGAGAGTCCCCTGCCCATCTGCCCACCATGTGCGGATGCAGTGAGAGGACGCCTCTGGGACCCGGGAAGTGGCCCCCAGCAGCCCCCAAAACTGTGAGAAGTGAAGCATGATCTGTGGTGTTTTGTTATAGCAGCCAGAGCAGCCAGACATGGCAGCAACCTCCACGACCTTCCGGGTCCAGGGAGGGGGAGCGGAGACACCGGTGTGTGCTGGTGCCTGGGCCTGGGCCTGGGGAGCCCTGTGCCGCGCCGGGGAGCCCAGCTCGTCCGCGCCCACGTGCAGTGCCCGTGAGTCAGGTGGGTGCCGGTGCCGCCCACTGGGCAAGGGCAGACCTGCCTCTCTTCCGAGACCAATTTGGCAGCCTAGTGTGCGCCCCTCCCAGGCCTCACAAGTTCTTACTTGGCACCAAGTTTCTCAGAGCAACGACTGTGCCTGAGAGCGGCAGGCAGGAACCTGCGCCCGGGCGGCATGGAGCCTGGACAGCAGGTGGGCCCCCAGGGCCTGCCTGCCCCTCCCTCTTTAGACCCATTGGCTGCAAAGGACTGGTTTGGGGTTCGCCTCTATGCTGTCTGGGCTTCACTTGTCTCCCTATAAATTGGGGTACAGACAAAGCAATAAAACCCCAGCAGAAGGCACAGAGAAGACCCTAAATCAGAGGTCCTCAAACTTTTTAAACAGGGGGCCAGTTCACTGTCCCTCAGACCGTTGGAGGGCCGGACTATAGTTTAAAAAAAAACTATGAACAAATTCCTATGCACACTGCACATATCTTATTTTGAAGTAAAAAAACAAAACGGGAACAAATACAATATTTGTATTTGCATGTGGCCCGCGGGCCGTAGTTGGAGGACCCCTGCCCTAAATCCAAGAGCGTGGTGTGGGGGCTGCGTGATTTTGAGGCAAGGAAGGTACAGGGCACACACCTACTGGCCGCTTGTTAAAGATGCAGACGCCCGGGCCCTGCCTTACTGGCTGACTCAGGCCCAAGGCTGCTGCCTGCACTGTGCGGGGCGCCTGTGGGGGCTCGGCACCCTCAGCTGCCCGTCCAGGGGCCCGGGCCCTGCCTGTGGTGGGAGGTGAAGGTCAGGGTGGGGGGCGGCAGGGAGTGTGTTTGTGGGGTTGGCAGAGGACAGGAATGTGCAGCCGCAGGCTGACGCCTCCCTCGGCGACTCCCGTCCGTCAGGCCCTGGGCTCAGGGTCTGGACAAGAACTTCACCTTCACTGGCAGCAGGGCCTAGGGCACTGCCCCTCCGCCTCGCTGTGCACATGGGAAAGACGCCACGGCGTGGCGGCCAGTGCAGCTCACAGGGGCCAGGGACACGGTGGGCAGTAGAACCAGGCCTCCTCCCCCGGGGTGGCAGGGAGCCGAAGATCTCACCTGAAGGGGTCTGCAGGGTCTACGGGGTCACACACATCCGCGTGGCCGTGGCAGACGCAGCGCCCGCCAATGCTGATGTCCTTGATGCTGTAATAATACTGCACACCTGGCTGTGAGTGTCGTGGCCCCCACACCAGCCCGGCCCACCCACCAGGACCCCACATGGCCCAGAACCGCCCATGTGACCCAGACCCCCGCATGTGGTCTAGACCCCCCACATGGCCCAGACCCGCCCATGTGACCCAGACCCCCGCATGTGGTCTAGACCCCCCACATGGCCCAGAACCGCCCATGTGACCCAGACCCCCGCATGTGACCTGGACCCCCCACGTGGCCCGGCCGGCCGGCGTGCTCACCCGGCGGGTGACGGTGGGGTCCCGCAGGGCCTTGCCCATGAGGTGGCCCAGCAGTGTGTTCGTGCGCAGGAAGCGCAGGCGGATGTTGGTGGCTTTGGTGAAGTCACGCAGCAATGGCGCATGTGGTCTAGACCCCCCACATGGCCCAGACCCGCCCATGTGACCCAGACCCCCGCATGTGACCTGGACCGCACCTGACTGCCGCCACCCCCCGCGGGGCCCGCCGCTCCCGCCTGGCCCACCTCGCCGTTCTCCAGGGGCACGATCCGGGAGTACTCTGTGCTGCAGACGACATCGTCGTCCTGCGTGATGCGCTCCAGCCTCGGCACCCCGAACCGCTCCAGGCAGTCCCTCCTGGAGGCTGCGGAATGGGGGGGGGGGAGTGAGGGTGCAGGGCCAGGAAAGCGGCCTTGCCCTGTGTGCCTGAGCTCCCCAGAGCTTCGTGGCCTGGTCTGTGAAGTGGAACTGGTCCCACGTCAGGGAAGGGAGCCACTCAGCCCCACCTGCCTTTGGGGTGCGCCCCCCACAGTCTTGACCCAACAGAAGCTGGGTGTGACAGAGCGGGCAGTAACGCCACCCGGGACGCGCCTGCCAGCCCTGGGCTCCGAGAGACTCACAGGCGAAGAACTGCCAAGGCTGGTAGGTGTGGCCGAAGTCCACAGAGCGCTCTAGCACCCAGAGGTCCGGCCGCGGGGAGTTGGCAAACTTGATGAGCACGTAGGCCACATGGAACACCTGCGGGGGGAGGGGGTGATGCCCGAGGCCCTCCTCTTGCCTGGAGGGCTGGTGGGCGGGATGGGCGTGGGCTCCCTTCTCCCACAGTGGACATCTGTGAGAGCCAGCCACACCCAGAGGAGGGGGCCAGCCACACCCAGAGGAGGGGGCCAGCACTCCCAGGGGAGGGGGCCAGCTCTCTCATGGGAGGGGGCCAGCCACACCCATAAGATGGGGCCAGCCGCTCCCATAGGAGAGGGCCAGCCACCCCCCGGGGAAGGGGGCCAGCCACACCCCAGGGGAGGGGGGCCATCCATCCCATGGGGAGGGGGACAGCCCTCACCCCAGGGGAAGGGGGGCCAGCCTCCTCTCAGGGAGATGTTCAGTCACTCCCTAGGTAGTGGGGTCAGTCCCTCCTTGGTGATAGTGCCAGCCACTCCCAGGGGAGGGGGCCAGCCACACCCAGGGGAGGGGGCCAGCCACACCCAGGGGAGGGGGCCAGCCACACCCAGGGGAGGGGGCCAGCCACACCCAGGGGAGGGGGCCAGCCACACCCAGAGGAGGGGGCCAGCCACTCCCAGGGGAGGGGGCCAGCCGCTCACGGAGTAGCCCCTGGGCTGGATGACCACCCGTGGCCGCTGAGGCCTACACCGGGGACACTGCCATTCCTAAGGGCTCCCCACCTGGATCTGGGGGTACATTGGTCCAGGGCCCAGACCTGCCTGCCTCCCCATCCCTGCCCCGGGAGCCCAACAGCCACACTGGTCCTAGGGCTCTGAGGCTAAGACTTGGGGGGCAGCCTATCTACAGACCCTACAGAGGGGCTGGGCAAGGAGAAGACAGGAGCTCACCCTCCCCCCGACCCGTCACACAGCTCCGACGGCGGCCTGCCAGGCACGGCGGCCTGCCCCCATCATGCCTGGCCTCATCGCGCAGCTGGCAGGTGACACCCCCTCCTGGGGACGGGCGCCTGTCCTCGTCTCACCTGGTCATATCCCATCACTCTCACAACCAATCCGAACCCGCCCCTTCACTCTCTGACAGCCCCCAGGCACTGAAGCACCCCCCCCCCCGGGGGGGGACGGGGCAGGCGCAGCTGGACCCAACGCCTCTGTTGTGACAGGTCCCAGGGAGGAAGACAGACTGGAACATGGGAGCTGGTTCTCACTGCCAAAGACACCCCTCATCCCGCTCCCCGGGATGATGCACACGGCGGAGGCCCACATCACATCGGCACCTGGAACCCTGGACCCCAGGCCCAGCCCCCAGGAAAGGTCCCTGGGACCCCTGGCACCCCTGGGACCCCTGGGAGCGTCAAGGGCTCAAAAGCACCTGCTCAGCCCGAGGCCTCGAGGCGGGGCCATCCAGGCCCCGAGGTGGGTGCGTGACAGGCTCACCCTCACGCCTCTGCCCCCACAGCCCCCTGGGAGCGCCCACCCCAGGCTCGTCTCCCACAGGGAAGGACGGCGGTTCCCAGGCAGCTCTGAGGACAAGCCCCTCCTCTCGGCCCCAATGCCAAGGGAACAGCAAAGCCGACAGCCATTGTACATGCTGAACTCTGTGTGGAGTGTGGGCTCCAAGGAGATCCGTACAGGGTAGTGGGGGGACACAAGCACCCCCAGTCTGCGCTCAGGAGTGGGAGGCCCAGACATGCTGGTAAACATGCCACACGTAGTGAGTGCCCACCCCGCCCCCCACACCAGGGCTGCTCACAGGGGCACCCCCTGTGGGCTCTGAACTGTCCACAGACCCCTAGGGTGATGTCATGCTCCAGGCCACCGTCCGTACCCTTCGAGGGCCCTGCCCAGCCCAGAGGAGCAGGTCCCCTTTGGGCGTCCACTGGTCTGAATCCACCCGTGACCAGTTGAGGCAGAGCAGGGGTCCCCTCCAGGGCTGCCCAAGGCCGCCATGGTGACCCCATGGAGGGACGGTGACCCCTCAAGGCCCAGCCCTTAGGAGGCACAGGCTGCTAAGAATGCCAGCGGGAGCAGGGTCCCGCCCGGAGCCACGCCTGTGCTGAGGTGGCGCTCCCGGAAGGCCTTGTCTCAGACGGCCCCCCGTCAAGCCAGGGGCCTTCCTGGGCGGGGGCAGGGAGAGCCTATTCACCCATGTCCAGGCTCTGAGGTCATCTTCCCTCCCTGCTGGGTGGGGGAGGGTGCGCCCCGGGGGACAGACCCTGTACCCAGCCAGCACCTTGGCCAACCCTCAGCATTCCAGGGAGCCCCAGGGGACCTGGCTGTGTGTGAGTCACCCAAGGCCCCCAGGAGACTGAAGGCTCCCCCCAGCCATGGGGCCCACCCCCGCCTTTCCCTGAGTGAGGCCACCAGGCTGCAGCCGCCACTGGCCAGCTCTGCCCCCCCATCGGCGGCAGCTGCATTTTTCCCAGCTGAGGGCACTTGCACAAATATTGATTTGAAGACACTGATGAGGCAGGACCGGGCGTCATGGGAACTGCCCCCCACGCCCGTCATGCTGGGACGTGCTTAGAGAAAGACCCCGCCCCTGCGGCTGTCCACCTGGCCATCTGTCTGTCACACAAGAGGCCCGGGCCCAGGCTGGAGGGGAGGAAAGGCATGAGCCCAGTGCTCTCTCTCCATCTGTCCCCGACCTGGTGCCGCTCCCAAGGCCACACTGGGCACGACCCGGGAGAGCCTGGCGGCCGCGCCCGCTGCCCTGCCCCCACCGCCCGCCGGCTCTGCTGCCAGCGCAGGCTGACCTTTCCCGCTGCAGAGTTCTTTGCAGAAGGAAAGAACGTCTTTTAAGCAAAAGCCAAACAAAAGCCTCCTGAGTTATTTTTAACAATCTGGCTATTTTGGGGCAGGCACGTCTCCAGGACAGCAGCCGGACGGCCTCTCGGTCACTACACCCTGGCCCCCATTCCCGGCCTGACCACAGAGGGCCCCCCAGGAGGGCTTCTGCCCCCCCTCCCCCCGTGACCAATGCCTGACGGGGGCCAGGCCAGAGCAGGAGGTCCAGGTGGGCTCAGGCACTAATGGCCAAGTGACCCCAAGTAGCCACATCCCCTCGTGGGCACAGGAGCAGTGGAAAGAAACAAAAGGGCCGGAGGCTGGTGTGATGGCTGCCAGAGGCCTGCACAGAAGATGCACCTGTCCCTGAGGTAGACAAGCAAAAGCAGCAGCACCTGTCCGGACACTGCGCCGGGTGCCGCGCTCCGCTCCGCAGTGCAGAGGCCCGGTGGGGAGGGGACTGCTCGCTGGGCGGCCGGGGCTGGGATTTGGACACTAGAGAGGAATGAAACCTGGAGGGTGCAGAGGGTGGCCAGCAGCCTCCTGGGCTCAGGCACCTCTGTCCCCAAGGGCAGGGTGGTGGCTGGAACCCCTGGATTGCAAGCACACCCCATCTCTGCCCTGGCCCATCTCAGAGCGAGGAAGAGCCAGGCTGGCCAGGAGCAGAGGGCCCAGCCCCCACCCACCAGGCAGGCTGCGTGAATCACTGGGCAGTCCTGACTCAGCCCTGGCCCTGCCGGAAGCAGGGCTGATTCCTGGGGCTGGGCCAGGGTCCCAGGCTGTGGCCGGGTGGAGGCAGGAAGCCCCTCCTAGACCGAGCGTCCGGGCTAGCTCCCAGGCCATTCCCCTCGAGTGAACAGTGGGGCACCCAGACCTCCTGCATTCCCTGCCCAGGTGCTGGGCCGGCTTCTGTGCCCCCACCCCTGTCTGCTGAAAGCACCCGGCCTAGCCCCTCAGTCTGCCCTCTCCCCAGTGTGCCCACCCTCTCAGCAGAGACCCCTCTGGAAACCTTGATAAAGATGAACGCCACAGCAGGGGCTGGCCCGGCCTGCAGGGTCCAGGGCAGGGCAGGGCAGGGCAGGTGAGTCTATGCAGGCCCCCACTGGGGTAAAGAACAGCCATTCACACCAGGTCAGGGAGGACCAGCTCCAGGAGAGCGGGGAATGGAACAGTAAAACATGGAAGTGCAGAGGGACAGGCAGAGGCCCAGGGGCCTGGCTCTGCGGACGGGTGCCCAACAAACAGGAGCACAGAGCCGGTGGGGACTCCAGGGGCGGGGTGGGTGAAGGGCCCTGCCGGGTGCTCAGGAGCTCACCAGCTAGAGTGGAGCGTCAATGCCTGCGTGGGCCAGAACCTCAGTGTGCTCCCTGCCCCCGTCCCCTCCTCCCTGCAGAGGCCCAGGTCAGGCCAGGTGGTCAGCCCCAGCCACAGGAAGTGGAGTTTATCCCAAGGGGACCTCAAACCCAAACAGTTTAGTCTCTGGTGAGCGGCGCTGCTGGAGGTCAACGTTGTGGGGTTTGTTTAAAAACAGATGGGCCTTAGCCGGATAGAGCGTCAGCCTGCGGACCAAAGGGTCCCAGGTTCGATTCTGGTCAGGGGCAGGTGCCTTGGTTGCAGGCTCCTCCCAGGCCCTGGCCCTGGCCGGGGCTCGTGCAGGAGGCAACCAATCGGTGTGTTTCTCTCACATCGATGTTTCTCTCTGTCTTTCCCTCTCTCTTCCACTCTCTCTAAAAATCAATGGAAAAATATCCTCGGGTGAGGATTAACAACAACAATAAAACCAACCAGCCCTAACCGGTTTGGCTCAGTGGATAGAGCATCGGCCTGCGGACTGAAGGGTCCCAGGTTCGATTCCAGTAGGGGGTGTGCAGGAGGCAGCTGATCAATGTTTCTCTCTCATCGATGTTTCTAATTCTCTATCCCTCTTCCTTCCTCTCTGTAAAAAAATCAATAAAATATATATTTTTAAAAACCACACACACAAAACAATAAAACCAAACAAACAAAAAAACAAAGATGGGAGCCCAGCCGGTGTGGCTCAGCAGTTGTGTTGACTCAGGAATCAAGAAATCCCTGGTTCGATTCCGGGTCAAGGCACATGCCCGGGTTGTAGGCTCAATCTCCAGTGGGGGCGTGCAGGAGGCAGCCGATTAATGATGTTCCTCTCATTGCTGTTTCTATCTCTCTATCCCTCTCCCTTCCTCTCTCTCTCTCTAAAAATCAATAATAAAAAAACAACAACAGATGGAAAACAGGAGCCTTTGGGGTGGGGGGGGGCGTCTAGCGTGAGGGGCGGGGACATCTGTGTGCACCCAAGTGAGCAGAGGCGAGCAGCTGGGCTGGCTGTGTGGCTGCTGAGGGGCAGGAAGCACCAGGCCAGGGATGAAGGGCTGTGTCAGCAAAAGGCCAAGCAGAGGCAGGGTTTCATCGATTCTCACAAGGAGACGCCTGTGCTGGAACAGGAGGTGCCTCTGCCTGGCCACCCAGGACCTCCCCATGGCCCACCCCAGGGAGCCCAGCTCAAGGGGTTGTGTCCAGTCCAGGCCCCACACCTGTCCTGGCTGCTGGGCTCAGTAACCAGAGCCTGGCCAGCCTCGGCTGAACTTCCTGCCACTCCCCTCGAATAACCCCGCTGGCCCTTCTGGGGAGCCAGGCCAGCGGGCATGCGGGGACCAGGCGGCCTGCACAGGGCGCCCCGAGCCAACCTGCCTGCGGGCGTGGTGCCTGGAAATGGGGCCCAGCCAAAGGAGCTGTGTGCCGGGGCCCTCGCTCAGGTACAAAGGCCCTAAACCAGGTGCCCAGGTGCCCTCACCGCCCCCCATGTACAGAGGAGGAAACTGAGGCACGGAGACCAGATGAGGTCTTGGTCTCTCCACACGGGTGCTCAGTATGCCCAGGTGCCCAGGGCAGCTCACCGCAGCTCTGCTCCTCAGCAAACCCATCTGATGTCCTGTCCCCCAGGGAGGCCATAGACCCCTCATCTGGCATTTTTAGCCCCCAACCCACACTTCTGGCCTCACAGCCAACCACCCGCCTAGACCCCAAGGCTGGTGCCATCCCTCTGTACCTTCACCCCGCTGGGCCCCTCCACCTGGCCCTTCAGCACCGGGCTCCAGCGCTCCTCACCTGGATCTGGGGAATGTGGGCTGCAGCCACAGTAAAGGCCACCAGGGAGATGTCTGGAGAGGGAGGAGGACACTCCATGGGCCTCAACTCACCTGCCCAGGTCCTTAAAACTACTGGGCAGAGGCTTGAGACCCCATGGCAGAACCCCTGGTAGGGGCAGAGCACTTGGGCCAGGACCTGCCTTGCCATGTGGCCTGAGCCCAGGAGGTCGGAAACAGCACCCACCCCGCACTGGGTGCAGGGAAGGGAGAGCCAAGGCAACAGGAGATAAGCAGAACCTGTGGCCCCTGGGAGGACCCTCGGCAGGTCACACCGCTGGGACTCGGGACACAGCACCTCTGGCACCAGCCTCGGAGCCTTCCGGGCCCCACCTGGAGGCTGGCACTAACGGTTGTCTCGGGCCTGAGGGTCCCTGGCAGAGATCCATGCAGGGAGCGGGGCAAGGTCCCGAGGCCCGAGCCCCTGCATACCTCCCAGCCAGGACCTGGCTCCTGGGACCTGCTGCTCCGTCGGCAATGGGAAGGAAGAGGGTCCCACATCCCCCGCCAGGGGAAAGCTCAGAACAGATGCAACAGCCATTGAAGGAGGGCAGGCTCGCTGCCCCCGCCAGCTCCGGGCGACCCACCAGGCAGAGGAGGAGCTGTGAGACAGCCACGGCCCTTCTCAGTCTCCCAGAGGCAGGAAGGCCTCCTGATGCCCTGCTGGCCACCCCACCCCCTTTCCAGGGCATCCGCTCCAGATCCCAGAACAAAGGCAGCTGGCAGCCTGCCACCGGAGTGCCCAGCCCTGCTGCCCACTCAGCCCCACTTCCTGAAGGAAGCCCCAGCGCCACCCGGACCCTCGCCTCCAAGGATTACCCAAAGTGGGAGAACCCCAGTCGGGGGTTGGGACCCCTGGGCTTGGTTAGCTTAGCCCCTCCCACCCAGCCTGTCTCTCATCTGCACCAGGGAACGTGCTTGGAGGGTTCTGCCCTGGGCACCTCCTCCATCTGACTGTAGGCACAGGTGCTCCTGACACCAGATCTGGGTGGACTTGGAGGCACAGACCCCAGGGTCACTGTGAGGGCCCAGGAGGCCCGCCTGCACCTCCAGATGCCTCCCCAGTGCTTCGGCCCCCCGAGCCCTCACTTCCTGCCCTACGTGGGCTCCTCTGCCCCAGACTGGGTGCTGAGGGCAGGACCTAGTCTCCGTCCCCAATCCCAGCAAGTGGCGCCCCAAAGAGCCAGTCACTGCTCGTGCTCAGGGAGGAGGGCAATGAGCCCGTTTCCCGTTTCCCCCGGAATTCCACCCTCTCATCCTGGAGGGAGCTGGGTCCACCGTCCCACCCAACTCCAGCGCACACCGTGAGCAGGCCCTGGCCCTGGCCCGTCCCGACCAAGGCTGGCAGCCCCTCGGCCAGACCAAGACAGGGGCTTGGTGGGCTCTCGGGCAGGCAGGGACCGGGTGTGTGGGGGGCAGATGGGAAAGAGGGCTCGGGAGATGGAGAGAGGAAGGAGAGGGAGGGGAGGGAACCGTGGCAGGTAGATGGGTGGGTCCACCTCCCCACAGGCCTAGAAATGGCCCCTTTCTCCTGCGGGTCATTTTACAGTTAGGGAAACTGAGGCTTGGAGAGGCAGGAGGTGCCCACGGTGAACCCAGCCCTGGCCCAGGACCAGTCTACCGAGCAAATGAGCTGCCTGCCACCACATCTCCAGCCAGGTTCACAGCGGCTCAGGTGGCACAGAGCCAAGAGGGGCAGGGACCCCGAGAGCTCCTCCTCAGCCCCACACTGCACCTCGGCTGCGGGCACTGTGCCCACCTGCTCTGAGGCCACTCTGGGGTTGCCATGGAGACTGGGCCATGGCACCCCCAGCTAGGGCCCTCGCCCCTCCCCCAGCCTGGCCAGGCCTGTCCCAGAGGGAGGGGAAGAGGAGCAGGAGGAGCAGCAAGAACCCACCAGCTCAGCACAAGTTCCTTCTGACCGACCTGCAGTACCAGAGCAGGGGGCCCAGGTCACACAGGGTTCTGAGGTCCCTCCCAGGCTCCCAGGGACAGTAGAGCACAGACGTGCTGGAAACCCCATGAAAGCCCCAGCCAGACCTGGGCCAGGTACCAGCACCAGCCCTGGGACCTGCCTGCAGGAGCCCGTGAGGGGCAGCCTTCTCCCTAGTTCCCACCCAGCCTCTTTCCCCGCCTCCCCAGGACATCGCAGCCAATCCAGAGCCCCTAAAATTTCAGGCCACCCGTTAGAACTGAAACCCACTCCTCTCACTGCCTACCCAACCACTGGGCCAGGCCTGTAGATCTCCAGGGAGGTGCCTGACACTGTCCCCCAAACCTTCCCGTGGGGTCTGCCCTTCCAGTGAGCTCAGGTGAGACACTTCAGCACCTTCCTCGGACCCTCAGGGTCGCACGCAGCAGGAGGAGGCTCGGCAACAGGCAGGCGCACCGGGTCACGCGGCCTGGACTCTAGCGTCTAGACCTGACTCCTTCCCCGCCTCGCGGGGTGCGGTCTGGCAAGATCAACCTTGTCACCCCAACTCCAGGCAGGCCTGGCCTCATCTACCTGCCCCCACCCCATCCCAGGAGGCGACGGGATCGCTGGCCCACTTCACAGGCCAGGATGTCAAGGCCAGGACTCTGGGCAAAGTAACACAGTACCAGGACACACCCTGGACCCTAGTCTGACCCAGCAGGGCCCACCAAGGGGGACTCTTGTCTCTGGAAAATGCCGGGCCCCACCCTCCTGCCTGCACAGGGCCCGGAGCAGGCACACCTGACCCCGGGCCTTTGCAGCACAGGTATCCCAGGAATGTCCACTTCCACCAGCCTCCTCCACATTCCTGGGGCCCCTCCCACACCAGCAAGCCAGAGCCTGGCTCCCTGCAGAAGAATTCCCCAGAATACACACCAGGGCTCAGCATTAGCCTCCATGCTGGACCCTCAGCACCCCCACCCTAACTCCCCACGGACGCCTTTTCACCACAGGGATGGGGAAAGAGCATGTGAGGTGCCTGCGGTCACACCTCTGTGCTGGGCCTGCCCCCGGGGAAGATCTGCCCAGACTCCTGGCTGGCCCGGGGGTGCTCAGGTGGGGACCCTGGGCTCAGAAATGCAGAGGTGGGGGCTGTGACGGACAAAGAAGGAACCCTACCTGGCCCAGGTCCAGGGTGACGTTGACCTCATTGTACTCCAGGCCGCGGGACAGCGGTGGGCTCTGCCACCAGCGCTCGGTGCCGTCGACGGCATTGCTCACGGGGTGCGCCTTGTTGCTGTTGGCGGCTGTGCAGATGTCACAGTACTGGCCCTGGGGGGACGGAGCAGTCAGATGGTGGAAAAGGGCTGGGACTGCTTGTCCCCTCCACTCACTCTCCCACATCATAACCCAACCTGGGGACCCTCGCTCACCATTCACTCATTTTCTGTGTCTACTGCGTCCCTGACTCAGGAGACATAGCTCATGTGAGAGGTGGTCACATCCATTGTGGAGAGACCAAGAGGGGGAAGGAGAGAGACACCCAGTTGGTTTATTTATTTATTTACTTACTTACTTATTTAAATATCTTTTTATTGGTTTCAGAGAGGAAGGGAGAGAGAGAAAGAGTTGGAAACATCAATGATGAAAGAGAATCATTGATCGGCTGCCTCCTGCACGCCCCACACTGGGGATCGAGCCCATAACCCGGGCATGTGCCCTGGTTCATAGGTTGATGCTCAACCACTGAACCATGCCAGCCAGGCTATGTATTTATTTTTTTTATATTTTTATTGATTTATTTTATTTTTAAATATTTTATTGATTTCAGAGAGGAAGGGAGGAAAGAGAAAGATAGAAACATCAATGATGAGAGAGAATCATTGATTGGCTGCCTCCCGTACACCCCCCCACTGGGGATCAAACCCGCAACTGGGCATGTGTCCTGACCGAGAATCAATGTGACCTCCTGGTTCATAAGTCGATGCTCAAGCACTGAGCCACGCTGGCCGGACTTTATTGATTTTGTTAGACAGGATGGGAGAGAGAAGAGCATCGATCGGTTGTCTCCCATACAGACCCTGACAGGAAACCAAACCAGCAACTTTTTGGTGCGTGGGATAACGCTCAAACAACTGAGCCACACTGGCCAGGGCAGGGACACTCACTTTAGATGGGAAAATCAAGGTGGGCCTCTCTGAGGAGGTGGCATACTCTATAAGGAGGGTGTACTCCGGGCAGAGGAACTGCCCGCAAAAAGGCCCTGGGGCAGGAAGAACCACTGGAGCTGGGGGGAAGGGGCCAGTCAAGGGGCAACTCACTTGCTCCCTACAAACAGAAGGCTGGAATCACCTGGAGGCGAGGGGCTCAGGGGGCCAGGAACAGTCAGATAGCCAGACCCCCTCCCCGCCTCCCATGGCATGTCTCCCACACATCCCTGCCAGGCTTCCACCCAGAGTCATCTGGTCTAGAGGCTCCAGAGAGACAGAGCCAAGCCGTTCCAGGGGCCTGTGGGACAGGCCCCAGAGTGGAGGCATGTGGGCAGCCAGCAGGCAAGGCCTGGACCTTTGGCTCTGCTGCTTCTGGGCGCTGCGACCTGGCCAAGTCGCGATAGCTGCTAAGCCTCAGTGTCCCCGTCAGAAGAGTGGGGTAATGCTGGCACCTGCCTCAGCTGTCCCAGAATTAATGATCCCACCCCAGCCCGGCAGCTGCTTCCATCACAGTCCAGCCACCTGCCGGGGCCTGTCCCCTGGGGGGACAGAGGGCTCCCAGCGTCCTGGCCTGCTGTTCCTATCACGGAGGAGCAGGTGCCCAGAGCCTGGGGTGGGGTGGGGGCAGGGCTGGGCCCTGGCCACTGGCCCAGTAGAGCCTAACCCTCCCTCTCCCCTCCCCGCCCCAGAGGAAACCAGACCTGCCATCCCTCCACACACAACAAAGGCGGCCCTTCGGGACCGGCAGTGATTGAGGCCAGAGTCTGGGAAAGGCAGCCACCACCCCCTCAGCCTCCCAGGGGGCCAGACCTCATTGGAGGAGTTGGAGGTGGGAGTGTGGGATGCCCCACCCCCACTCCCAGGCCCCACATGTGCACAGCACCCGCCTCCCCTGGATGGGTCTGCCCTGGGCTCCTTCCATGCACCTGGGAGGGCGAGACCAACAGGCAGCAGCTGGGCTCCCCGATCCTGGTGCTGGGTGCTTTGAGTCCCCCCATCTCAGACCTTGCTCCTGCTTGGGGCCTTTGCACTCTGACCTCCTGTCCTCCATCTCAGCTCAGAGGTCACCTCCGTAACAGTGCCCCCACCCAGACCTAGTAGACCACCCAGGATGCTGCCCCCCCCACCCCCCCAGACATCACCTTGCTTTTTTTATCCTCCCTCCAGACCTGGAACTGTCTGGCTATTAGTGATTCTGTGTTTACTGCCTCCCGGGGGCTGCGAGCTGGGGGTGAGGGACACCCATCTTGTTTTTAACTGTGTTCCTGAGCTCACCACCAGAGCGGCCACACCTTGGGGACAGAACCATGGAGGACACCGGAGAAGGGCGTGAGCCAGGCGGACCGTACTGCCGGGCTCGGATGGTGAACCTAGGCTGGAGCCTGGAGCTCTGGCTCCCCGGCCTGTGGGAGCTCTTGGGCGAACAGAGGAGGGATTCAAGGGTGTCGCCAGAAGTACCGTGCACATGGGTACAGGCTGTCAGGGCCCTGACTGGCGGGGAGGTTTCACGGAGGAGGTGGGCAAGGCATGTGGCTGGGGTGGTGGCGTTCCGGGAAGGCTGCCTGTGGTCAAGACCCTCCCAGCCTGTGAGCCCGTGTGGCTTCGGCCCGGCCCCCGCAGACAGTGGGGAGAGGCGGCCCTATCGTCCGCACTGGGCCTGGCCGGGCTCACCGCGGGCAGGGGTGCAGTGCCCTCCACACCTTGGCTGCAGAGGGTCCTGCTGGAGCAGAGTGCGGAAACCGGGAGCGGCGATGAGAACTTCCCCTCCCAGTGAGTCACCACACCAGCAGCCTAGCCCCCGACTTGCCTGCGGGCCTAGGGCCAGCCCTGAATTCCTCCCATGCCCACCTGATGCTGAAAGGGCTGCCCGCACAGGACCGCCTCGCCAGCAGGGCTCCAGGTGGGACACCCTGCCTTGGCCCCGCCAGCTTCTGTCCCGTCTCCTCCAGGGGTCCCCTCGGAGCTGCGAGCCTGCAGCCTTGGGCCCCATGTGCTCTGTGACCTCCCCCATGTGGCATAAGATGGAGAGAAAGGGGGCTGTATCTCCCTGGCACCTCACCAACCCAACCAGAGACCAGGGCACTGAGCAGACCCACTGTCCCCAGAGGAGAGGGTGGAGGTGCTGGGCAGTCCAGGGACTTGTCTAAGGTCCCATGGCTGTTCAGCTCATGTCCATCTGGCCGCCAGACTTCCTACCATGCCTCACCCCAGCAGCCTCAGAGCATGTTCTAAATCTAACCCCTGAGGCCACAGGCTTTTGGGGAAAGCTTTGGCGACTAGGCAAGCAGGCTGACACTTCTCATTCAAGGCCAGCTCTGTGGCCCCTAACACCAGGGCTGCCACTGGTTGCCAAGCAGTCACTGTGTGACAGATGGCTTCCCAGTCTCCAAATCGAGGTAAATGGGGCCCTCACACCGTGCCCATTTTACAGACGAGGAGACTAAGGTTCTGGGAGGAAAACCACGCAACTAAGGAAAGGTAGAGGACAGGGGCTTTGAGCCCTGCTCCAGGCTGCTCCTTTACGCACTATGAGGGGGCACTGAAGGGCCCCTCCCTGCAGGGATCCATGCAACTGGCCCTCCTCAAGGGTCTGCCATCTGGGGCCAGGCAGCATGGGTGGGGAGGAGTGGTCTGGGGTTCAGAGGAAGCCAGGAGCGTCCACTACTGGAGTGGCAGAATCTCAGTTGAGCAGTGAGGAGGGGCGGTGGGGGCTGGCCAGGCCCCCTGGGGCGGCTTTGGAAACCCCCTACAAGCTCCTTCCCTGGATCCAGCCCCTTTGACGTCAACCTGATGTGCCAGGGCCCGCAGTGGCCTTGGTTTTCATTGCTCACCCCCAGCCAGGTCAGTCTGGTTGTGAGGCTTCCACAGGTGTCTGCACCTTTTCAGGCCTCAGTTTCCCCCATTTGAAATGTGAGCATGAGACCGCCTATCTCTGCTGTGCGGGGCTCAGAGGAGAGCATGCAGGTGAATGGAGGCGTCAGCGGGAGGCAGCTCTCTGCCCAAGAATGGCTCTGCCACACCAGGGTCCCCCGCCCCCAGCTCCTCCCTGCACTGCGGGGGCGAGGGCGGGCAGAAGGGGAGGGCAGCAGAAGGGGAGGGCGGGCAGAAGGCGGGCAGTGAAGGCTCCTTCATCACCCACCCCAGCTACTCCCCCATCCAACTACCTTCCTCCCCTCCCCCAGCCTCTCCCACCAGGAAGGTGGTGGCCTGGACCTCCTCCTGGAGGAGACGCTCCGTTTACATCAGCCCTGGGGACCCCAGACTCTCCTTAAGGCTCCGCAGGAATGGAAAGATGGGCCTAGCATAGGGTGTCAGGGACCCGAGAGCAGACCCTACCTGCTCCCCCAGAGCAACCCCAGGAGCCTCACAGGACCCCAGCCCTCAACCTGCCCTGAGGGCCTTGGCAGCCCTGCTTCCCGGGGGAGAGGGGTCCTGTGAGGGGCACCTAACCCACTCCCCACCTGCAGGCTCTTGGCTGGGGAGGGCACGCCCTGCCCAGGGTCTTCCACCTGAGGACTCCCCCACCTGTGGGGGCAGAGATGCCGCCCTGACTGAGCTCCTGTCCCCATCCCGTCAGGAATCCGGCTGTTTGCCACCTCCTCCACCGCCAGGTCCCCACCAAGTCCCCAGACGCCGGAGGGACGGCTTTTCCCTGTGCAGCGCAGGGAGAGCCTCCGGGGTCCGGCCCCTCCCGCCCGTCCCAGTGCCTTCCGGACGCCAGCAGCAAGTTCCAGCTCGTCTTGGGGGAAGGCGGGCGCTGCGCCCCTCCCCACGGGCCGCGCCGGCTGCTGCCAAGTCCCACCTCGCCCGCATCCCGGGACTCGGGCGGCCAAGGACTGGGCACCAGCCCGCCCCCTCCGCCCCGCAGTCCGCGCCCGGACGCTACGTCCCGCCTTCCGGGGGCGGGGGGCGATGGGAACACGCAGTTCTCTTGCGGAACACGCAGTTTCTCCTGGGAGGTCCCGTCTGTTCTCTGCATGGGGGGTCCCCGTCTGTTCCTCCTTGCAATGTGGAAACCGCAAGAGTCCGGGGCGGGAACCCGGGGGCCTTTCCGTCCCGCGTCCGGGGCTTCTCCCCCGGCCCCGGGGTGCTCCCCCGCCCAAAGTCAGCCCTTGGAGTGGGAAAAAGTCCGAAACCCGGGGGGCAACCCGCCCGGGGGGGGACCCTTGCCCCGGGCCCCGCGTTCCACCTGGAAACCGTCTTGGGTTG